GTGTGTGTGTTGATTCTTTCTTTCTGTGGCTAAAGGTGGGTGAATCAAGGAGGTCAACTGACAATCTTTACTAGATCTAGACACATAATTAAGGAGTAAGGCAGGTCATCAGCTTGATTCACAGGACATGCACCAAGTCCTGGGACACGTCCAGTGCCCAGAGTCACCCAGCCTGGGTCTGATAGCTTCCCTGGCTGGTTCTTTCCACCTGTCTGCACCTTCCACATGAGCTGCTGTTCCTTGCTGCCCCGTGGAAGCCCATACTGGGTTACTTGTGGCTTTTGGAGATCCCAAAATGCTTGTGCATATCTCAGGAAAATTGTCTTCCTGCTGTGAAAGCTGCACGTTTCCCAGCATGTCTTCCATTTGTTTTGGATGGAGGTGTTTCTCATTTCCCCTTACCTGCAAAAAGGGTGAGGTAATGTGAGCCACAAAAGACTGGGTGTTGCAGCTGCAAGTTGGACCCATCTTGCATCTCAGTGGAAGATGCATTGTCACAGTGATGCTCACCTCCTCTGCATGGTGGGCATTCCTTGACTGCAGCTGGACATCTCTTTCTGGTTGCCAGAGGAACTCTGTGGATCAAAGTGCTTTAAATGGAGTGTCTGACCAGAGCTGTGCAGTTGTTGTTAGGATAAATCTTGGCTGGGTATACCAGCAGCTGTAATTAAATTGATTTGAAAACAACTCTATATGCTATATCGGCCAAAAAGAAAAAAGAAAAAAAGTGCTTCATAATAAAACATTAGAACATCATTAAGACACTGTGACTGTTGCAAATGCCTACACCTGAACTAAATTCACATAATTTATTTATGGGTTCCTGTCTTATAAATTTAGATTTGAGGAAATCCCTGCCTTTTATGGTTGTGTTTGAAGGGCTGGAATGCTGTCACAGCATTTCTGATTCCTTGTCTCGATGGGCACATGACTGCTGGGACTCATTACTTGTGGAGAAAACTGGTGGCTCCAGAAAGTCCCCAAAGTACAACCACATTGTGTGTGTCCTAATACTGAAAGCAGAAGCTCTGCTCATTGTTGGAGAGAGCAGAGTCATTGGCGGAGATCTTGAGCCAGGGATTGTAGCTGTAAGCCTCGTAGAAGAATACTGCTCAATTCAGCTGGTGGTGTGGTGATGAAGCTTTGGGATGTGAGGGAGAGACTGAGCATAAGGGAAGTGTGGGGAGACCCTGGCACTGACTAGGTAAGAGCGTACCTGTGTTCCTCACTGGGAGAGCTCATCTGCTGCTCCCAGCCTGCTCCAACCTGAGGATTCACTCAGGAGCAAGCCCCAAGGCCAGCTTTTGTGTCAGGGCTGGCCACTGTGTCATCCATCTCCAGAGACGGAGCCCTTTGCTTGGTTACTGAGTCTGCTAAAGCTGTAGGGTAGCTGTGCTTTTGTGCAGTCTCACTGTACAGGTCGGGTGTGACACCCGGGAGCTCACAGCAGTATGTGGTGGTTCTGTAAACTCCTGGGTTTTGATTTTTTACCAAACAGGCACGGAGGGGAGTCAGTTCCCGTGTTACTCAGAGCCACGCTGTGGTGCAGTGTGTTCGGGCAGTCAGAAGCCTGGGTAGCACTGGGAAGAGGGAAGCTGGAGGGCTTGCTTGCAGCAGATGCATTTAGATCTCCTTTGCAACACTCATCTTGCATTCAGATGCCGAGAACTTTTGTTTTATCCGTTCCAGTAGGCTGCAGGGTTTGAGTCACCTTTGCCAGAGTTTGAGCTGGTGGTCACAGATCTCTTTATACAACCAGGGAGCCGGGACCACCCTACAAGACTGGATGAAAAGACCTACAACCCCCTAACTAAGCTCCAGGAGTGCAGCAAATCCCAGCAGCAGGAGGTGGGCCAGTTCTCCCGGCGCTGCCGAGGGCGGCTGTTGGAGATCAGCAGTCAAACCTCGGGTAGATAAGTGCTGTTTCCAATTCTGTGTTCTGCCTTGCATCTTAGGATTAAAAATTGCTGCACTTTCAGCTTTTTCATCTAGCAAAGCAGCAAGTTCTGATTGCTGCAAACTCCCAGTCTCCGAAAACTCTGCTTCCCCTTTTCTTCTCTCTGTTTTTCCTTTGCATTTTGAACCGCCCCCATTCCCTTTTGAATCGGTGAATGAGGGAATGTCTAAAGTCAGGGAAGTATGGAAAGATTTCATCCCTGGAGAGGTCAGGGTGGGGTGGAAAGCGGAGGGGGCTGCAAGGGGGCAGTTTGAAAACAGGAAACCATGTGGCAGTGAGCATGCAGGGCCCAGCTGATGTGAATGAGCTATTGAGAGCAGAGAGACTCGTGCTGGCCCCAGCATTAGAAAGACAAAAAACTTTAGGATTTTTTTTTTTTCTTCCTCCAAGAAAGAAGCTCTGCCTTTCAGGCTAGAATATATGAGGGAAGATTGTATCTTCTGGACAACTGGTTGCTGAGATCTTTGCTCTGTGTTGCAAACAAACCAAGAAGAAAGTAAATGGCTGATTTCCTTTTTTTTTTTTTTTTTCTCCCATGTGCTCTGATTAAATCATAAGTTTTCGTTCCTGGTTTAGGAAAGCAGTAATCTTGAAACTGTCTTTCATTCACTTGGCCTGAGGGAGTGGGAAGAGTCTTTTTACCTCTTGAAAAACATGTCCCTTTGCTCTCAGACTCATTTTGGACCGAGCAAACGCACCAAGTGCCTGCAGCCAGAGGTGGAAGAGGCTGGCAAAGAAAAGCTGCTGCTTTTTCTTTTTCTTCCCTGCTCCCTCCTCTTTTTTTTCCTCTCTGTGAATCATGCTCCCACAACTGCAAAGTAAATTTGAAAGCCGGGAGAACACTGGTGCAGGACTAAAAAGGCAAGCAGTGACGTCCCAGCCCAGATCAGGAGGGAGTGGCTTTATTTCATTATTTTCTTTGCTTTTGCCCAGCGCTGTCATTAGAAATTTAAACTTAACGCAAACCCAAGCCGTCTTGCCCGGTGAACAGTGAACGGACTCGCAAGGACGAAAGTACTTTTTTGTTGTTTCTTTCAGTGCATGAGGGCATGAAAAACAAAACACTTTGGTGACAGTATTTGCGCTGGATACAGCAATTGGGTTTTTTGGTTTGTTTTTGGGTTTTTTTCCTGAATTAGACCCACCGTGGCTGAGCCTACCTTCTGCATTTCCACTTGGAGTGTCAGTATTCCTGCTGCACACATCTGGCTTTTGTTCTCTTTTCAGGCAGGATTTTCATTCTGGTGCTTTTTGGATATCAAAGTTGTCTGGAAAACATTTTTTTTTGTTATTATTACTGTTACAGGAAGGCTGATACCATTCTTAGCAGTCGCAAAAAAAATAATCCTATATGTATAAAGCTGTCTTCAAATATCTTTTGTTTGCTATAAGTTCCTGCATTGCCTGTAAAAGCAAGTCTGTTCCGAGAAGACTTTATCAGCTGGGCGCAGCGCTGGGATTTTCGTTTTCCTGTTAAGAAGCTCGGGCAGGCTGGTGTGCTGAGACACGGGGACTCCTCTGAGCACGGATGTGAGAGGTCTGGGGCTGTGGTGAGCCCAGGGTTCATGGTGGGCTCTGCTCCCCTGCTCCCAGCTCTTTGGACAAAATGTACGAACGCCACAAGAGGCGATACAGCCTGTGCGACATTTCCAAGGTGGACAGGACTGTAGATGTTGTGTTGTTAAAGGTATGATGTTTGTATGTATTTATTTATGGGTTCCCTTCCCTATCTCCCAGGGATCAATTGATTCCTTGCTGTACTCGTGTCCCTCGGGATGATGCAGAGGGGAGGGACAGGTGGAAGAGCTCTTGCCCTTCAGCATGGAGATGGTTTTGAGTGTTATCAAACCATATCATGTCAAATATTATTATCTCTGTGACTGGATAATCTCTTGTGGCATGCACTCTTCGGGAGAGCTCCCTGGCCATCTTCCCTGCCCTCTGCCCTTAAACAGTCCCTGGTTTGAAATCCCAGCTGGGTTTTTTGTGTGAGGGGAAAAGGGTTTCCATTTCCAGTGCTTGCTTTTGATATTGAAAGGCACATTACCCAAAAATATACATTCTGTCAAAAAAAGGCATGGTGGATCCTCCTTTGCCTCTGTTTTTTGTTTGTTTAGAAGGGTTGCTGTCAGTCTTGTTGTTTGGGTGTGATTTTTTCTGAGGATGGGTTGGAGCAAGAATCAGGAGTGTCTCTTGGCCAGTTGTCCCAGTGTGTTCCTCCTCTAATCTAAAATTAGCAAGTGCTCCACCAAATGGCACAGTGGCAGTCTGGGAATGTCCTGTCTCTGTAACAGCTTTGTGGAGCTTCAGCAGTTTCCTGGCAGAGTGGATGGAAATCGGAGAGAAGCCAGAGGGACTGCAAAACACAGCCCAATTCAGAGATCTTAACTGCTGGAAGAGCATTTTCTTTCCCTCTCCCTTTTTCTCTTTTCTCTTTTTAGCAGAAGCATTAGGATTCTACATGATCATATGGCTGCCTTTTTATGATTTTTGGTTCATGCTCTTGTTTCCAAGTGAAGACAAGAATATATAACAAATTTATTTTCAATTAATTCTTGTTCTACTTTATCTGCACTAAAATAGACCTAGCTCTTGTTACCTTGCTTCGTTAGGAGTGAAAGTGTTTTCCTTTAATTCAGTGTACCCAGTGGTTTTGGTGGCACAGATAGCTGTAAGTTGTTTTCTCTACCAGCTCAATTTTTTTGAGTCTTTTAGAACTCTGTTGTTATTAATGCTGGTTGAGGATTGAATCCCATGATATTCAGTCTATAGACACTAGTATGAGTCATTAAAAATGTTGTTGTATTGTGTACACACTATTTCTGTGGAAGAAATAACGTGTGCACTTTTCTTAATAATTCTTGGGAGGAGACGTGGTACCTCTGATAATCCTGGTTGCCAATAAAAAGCACAATCTTTTTCTTTATGAAGAGTATCTGAATGCTGGGTTGAAATACAATTCACTAGAATTATCCAGCTTCAGTGTTTCTGATGTCATCAGTTCCTTAAATTAGGTTTTGTTCAGCAAAGCTTAGATTTTATAACAAAATGTGGCTCTAGTTAGTTCCAACTGGTATTTTCCTAATTGAGTTTCAGAGCTGTGGGTTATACTGTCTGTTCCTGCAAGTGACTCAGTGTCCATATATGTGTGCGTGTATGCACGCATTGCTGCTCCCACCATGGGCTGTACAGCCTGCAGATGTTTAAAACAGGAGGGTGCTGGTGACAGCTACAGCTACGATCAACTCTAGCTCGATTTTCAGTCATCCTTCATGATTTCTCTGGTTTCTGTAACATAAGTGGTAGATGAAACTGAATGTTGATGATCTAGGGATCCAAGCCAGCGCTTGAGTGCGTCAGTGGCAGATCATCTCTTGACGTTAATGGGAGTTGGATCAGGCCCTTAATGAGGGAGCTGGGGGTGGGGTTTCTGTTGGGTTTGGTTTTCATTAAAATACTGAAATAAAATTGTACCTTATCTCAGCCATTGTATTTTGGGGAGTTCAGAGGATAGGATTTCTTAAATATTGAAAAGCAAGTAGATGCCCCTAGAAAAAAGCAAACCCAAATCAGATCCATCAATAGTGTTTGAGCTGATGCAATTTTAACAGGATACCTGCAAAGCACCAAACAGCTTTCTATTTGGCTGCAGGTTGACTCACACAAGCTGTCATTTCTTGAGTAATAGGTGAATATGTTATTTTCTTCATTTTAAGGTAGGGAACTCAGTGTTTAGGTTTAAAGGACCCTTAAGATCATCAAGGCCAGCCATTAACCCAGCACTGTCATGTCCTCAGTGCCATGTCTAGGCATCTTTTAAATACCTCCAGGGATGGTGACTCAGTCATGACATAGGAAAGAAAATCAGCTGCTTAAAAAGGACAATGGGAACAAGTGGTGAAGAAAGAAGATCTTACGCCACTTTGGGTACTAAATGTTTATAGATGAGATTATTTGCATTCACTGCATCCATTCTTACATACAATCACAAAAGAACTTTTGGTTCCTACCCATAATTTTGTTGTCTGAAAGGCCACTGTCTTGAGACTCAAGTTTTCCATGTTTAGACTGAGCCTGAAACAGTGGCTTGTGAAGTTATGAAAAAAATGAACCTCAGCAATTTTGAGGGTTGATGCACACAATTATTTTTGGCTTTAGCATAATTTCTTCCTCCTCTCCACATATGAAAAAGCAAGAGGCAGCAGGTTACCAGCAGTGTCCCAGTCCCTGTTGGAGACAGGACTTCATCTTAGGAAGAAATTCCTTAATGTGAGAGGCGTGAGACCCTGGCAGAGCTCGTCCAGGGAGGCTGTGGGATGCCCCATCCCCGGAGGGGTTCAAGATCAGGTTGGATGGTGATTATTGAGCAACCAGGGAAGGTGTCCCTGTCTATGGGAAAGGTGTTGGATTTGCATTATCCTCAAGTGCTTTCCACCCTAAACCATTCTATGATTCCATGATTCTGTGTCCTGGCTGCTGCAGCAATGCAAACTCGATGAACTTGGATCCTGCACTTAGTGAATGCAGGGAAGCCTGGATGATGCAGAAACTACATAAAAATTTGCTGTCATTGTTCCTGCTGGGTTTGCATTGTAGCAGATGAGGGAGAAGTTGTGGGGTGTGTGGGACATCTGCTTGTCTGAACACTTTGCTGAGCTCTGAGCAGCTACGTGCAGGGTAAAGCAGTCTGTGCTGTGTTACTGCAAGCCCAAAATGGGAAGTCTCAGTGTGCCCATGTGTGCCTTGGCAGCCCTGTCTCATTTTTATGTTGTGCCTGCTACCACAAATAAAACTACACGGACAGGATACAAAAACCACACTGGCTGGTACCTGGCACATACATGTGAAGTCAGACAGGCGTTCAGTGGAGATGAACAGGCAGTGCTTTGCAGAGTTACAAAGAACTGGGCTTGCTTTGGGAATGGGAGACTGAGTAATCACAGCTGGAATGCCTTTTAACAGTTTTTGCCTGTATCTGCATTTCACTTCTGTATGTGAATGCTGAAGCTGTTAAGGGTAGGCATCAGGAGTAAATGGGGCAATGAGGTTTGATTTTTTCCCTTTTCAGATGAGACGATCCTATTCAGCTTCTAGCTGAAGATCAGAACATTGTTCATGGAATTAAAAACAGCATTAATAATTAATCGAGGTATTTTGAAATTAAAAGGACAGCACTAATTATTAGTGTTCTGCTTCCTGGCTGCTCTGGTAGCTTTACTCCAGCACCAGAGAAGAGCCTCAGATTGATCCCTGCCTACCTAGGGCGAAGTACCATTTACAGCATCCTATGCTAAAAGTGGTCTGTGGAGAAGTCCCTGAATTAACTGGAAGTAGGCTTCCTTACATTTTATGTTAGAGTTTTTTTTTCTTTCCTTCTTTGGAGTTGTTCTAGGAGAAGGATATGCCCAGCTGATGTGATGTTCATCAAACTTTGTGGGCCTAAATTGACTAATATTTAATCCAACATCTGTCCATGCTGTTCTGGTCACTGAGGGACAGAAGGAGAGAAGTGTCTTTGGAATGATGTAGAGAATTTTTGAGCTTTTCTGTTTGTGTCTCATATAGAACTACAACTGGGAGGGCAGCTTAAATGCAATGATTGTGTTTTCACATTAGACACACACGTGTTTGTGGGAGTTTTGCTCCCATATTAGCTAAGAGATGGGGTTTTTTTTGGGGAAAGAAAATGCTGTTATTTTTGAACCTTAATTAAAGTCTGTTGACTTTTAGTTGATGGTGGAGGACATTGCAGTGCCAAGGGCTGGAAAACTTACTTGGGGCATACATTCCTTTTCCCTGCTGGGACATTGCCGGGGGATGAATGCACTCTAGGAATTTAGTGTTGCTTTTGCACCATAAAGAGGTAATTTATTCAGTCATGTAACATGTCCTGTGCTTGTAGAAGCCTTTTTTGGTGAAATCCTTTAATGTAGCTTTCTATAGCACTGCTGCTTTGTTACTATGAGAAAGGTCAGTTTAGATCTCCTTGAAGAAATGTCTTGATACAGTGTCACCAGCTCTGTAAAGAGACTCAGTGTAGCATATTCACAGTGCTAGAAGAAAAAAATCTTCATAGAAATAATTGCAGAGATGCAAGTGTTGTCCCTTTTGGCATACATTTGAGAATGTCTTTGTGTTCTGCATCCACCTGTTAATATCATCCCCCAAAGTTAGGAGAATACACAGGGAGATTGCCAAAATAATTTAAAATAAAAATAAATGTGCAACTTGCCAGCAAATTGATTTGTCTGCTCTTAATATTGCCTGGCAAGATGATTGCCAAAGCAGTGATTGTTGCTCTTGATGTGATTTTTTTTTTTTGTGTATGGAGTCTTTCTGCAGCAGCAGATGTTGAAGGAAAACAGTGGAAATTGCTTTCCCAGATGCCCCATCCTTCATGCTCCTTTCCAAACTGTTTTGGAGGATCTTGAAAGGTAGTTTTTGTGAAAGGGATAAATCAACTGTTCCTTTAGTTTCTAGTGCAGGAATTGCAAGCAACTGGATAATTTAATTGTAAATGGAATTGTAAAGTTAAAAGTTCATCAGCATAAACATTGAATTCCAGTTATGTGTACAAATTTCTTTATCCTCTAGGAAATTTTCAGGAACAGGAAATTCCTAGAAAATAATTAAAATATGCATAGAACTTTAAAAAAAAATCATTGTATAATTTCTGCTTATGAAAGAAATTAATTATAATTGAATTTAGAGTATTGCTTTTTTCTATTTTTCTTTTTATTCTATAATGGATATTTAAAATTGATATTACTCAGTGTGGTGCATAAGTACTTAATGATACGCTAAGCAAGCTACAATTACTCTCCTAAATATTTTCCTATGTGCAGTCGTATCTGGTTTTAGCTGCAAGGTAGATCATAGTCTGGAAGCTGGGGAAAATAAAAGGAGAATAATGGAAACTTGCACATTCAGGACAAAGTTAAAATAATATGGAGGGAAGATGAATGTCCAGGGATCTACTAGGAAATTAAAGTTAAAGTCATCTGGTTCTTTGTGCTCTGGAAATGTTGATTTATATCACGACCAGTGAGGTTGACAAGTGCAAACTTTTGCAATAGCAAAAGATTTCCTGAAAGGTCAGTGTGTTCTCTTTATTGTGAAATGGAAGGCAAGAAGAGTTAAAATAAAACCAGAGGGAGAGAAAAAGAACTTTTCCATGCTGGAGGTGTAGGAGAGGTACATAGGAGCCAGGTAGTCCCTGCCCCCAAGCCTATACCTGGTGAGCCTGCCCCACAAGGCTCTGCCCTAGATATTTTTGGAGTGTCTTTGAGAAGGAAGTCCTGAGCCTGGATTTATGGGCAGGCACCACACCAGAGTGGATTAGATAATTCCTTGTCCAAGACCAAGGGGAGAGGAAGGAAGAGCCTGGAGTGGAGTCTGGGGTCACTCACAGTTCCTGTGGGACAAAGGACACCTCAGCCCAGGTGAGGTGTCACCTTGTCCAGCACTTTTTTATGCTTTAAGTCCCATAAGGTTTCAAGTTCAGAGTCTGCAGGAAGATGTCCCCAAGAGTCAGGAAATACCTGTCTGTGCCCAGAAGAGCACTGGAACCATCTGCTGCTCACAGCTCCAGCTGATGTCCTAAAGGCCTCTGAACATTTCGCCTGCTGGTGTTTCACAGGCAGACAGAAAATCCTGCAGGATTCAGTCTTTGGTGCCTGGGGACGTGCTTCCATGATTCATTTTGTGTCTGAGCTGCAGATAAACACATTCAGGCTTCTGTATGGAAAAATAGCTGGTTCTCTCCTGGCATTTCTTCAAAAGCTGTGTATTGAAACTCTGTTCCCAGAGGCTGTTTCATATTCACTCTGCCACTGGAACAGCACTGCACCCTCTGCTCCCGCTGCAAAGATTTGGGATGCCTGGACTCAAGGCGGGCAAGCAAGAAAGTATGGGACTTTTATCATCTTCTGTGGCCACCAGCCTGTGGTCCTGTCATTGGGCTTCTCTCAGCAAAACCAGAAACTGAGGGGGAAAAGGGGGGAATTTTCTCACATGCAATGCAGACGTGTCTGCAAAATCCCAACACAACTTCATTTCACATTTCTCCATACTGGTACATTCTCCAACTCCTGATGTTCAGGTGCTTTTATGAAGACATTTTCCTCTCCAGCTCTTACTGTGTGTACCCACTAGTCCTGAGTAAATACAAGCATAATTCAGGTGCTGAGGAGGGATCCCAGTACTCAGTGTTGGGCTGTGGGTAGTGGGGTTTGTGTTCTGAGTATCTGTGGACCACCCAGTTCCCTCAGAGCACGCAGTAAACCTCACTCAAAGCCTGTCTGGGCTCATTTTGGCCTAGGGAATACTTGTATATAGTAGTGGTTTCCTTTGTTTTTGTTTTGATGGTGATTATTACTTTTCCTGAATTAGGGCTACTGAGATAAATATTTAATTTCTAATGTTGTATTTTGTACATAGTCAAGTATATCTGAAGCAGCACCTTAAACCTCAGTGTTACTCTCTCATTAACTTTTTTTTTAAAAGAGAAAAGCAGACATTTTCAATACTTGGCAAAGCCACAGGGCTGAGGAGAGAACTGGCTGGGAAATTGGAAAAATGCTCAAATCTTTTTTGAAAAAATGCCAATGTCTATAATGCATTTTCAGTGAATGACTCAATTGGTTCTATTAAAGGAAAATATATAATGTTAATTCAGCCTAATATGGCTTATTCAACAGACAGCTTGAACCTCTTCCTATTTTGCTTTCTTACTGCTAATTATTGAATGGGATGTTTAATTATTGATTTCCAGTAGTGGATAACAGTATAAATCAGGAGCAGTTCCTTTGAATTTGATGGTGATTTGTTTAAAATTAAGAAGGGTCAGACTCTTCTTAAGGAGGAAGAAGGGAGGTACAACTCAGTCAGAAAGAGACAGAATTTGATTTTGTATCTGAAATGGGTCATTCTTTAATTTGTGTGCACTTGAGCACATTTGCATTTGTCCTTCTATGCATATTCAGCCTCAACCTTTAGATTTGCCTTTAATAAAACACAGGAAAGTGTGGTGCAAATTTATTCTGCTTTGTCTGGAGAGAAAAGAATAATATCATGATATTTATTGACTTTACAGTCATAAAGTGGTATTTATTGACTTTGCAGCTCTTTTAAGACAAAAAAAATAAATTCTGCAGTTAAGATTAGATACCACACAGCCTGGTTGAGAACAGGGAGTGCCTTCTGAAAGAATCGGAACATGACCCCCTGTCCATACAACAGTTAAAATGCAACATCCTTGTGTTACTTTGGAAAGCAAAATACATATTGTTTTGAAATTTTGTTTACAAATACTTTTTCAGATTGAAGACTGCTTCTCTTTTACTTGCTGCCTCTCATTTAATATAGATGTATCATATGTAAAAGGAAGAAAATGGATACACAGGTGCAGGGAAAACTGGGATCTTAGATGTGTGTACATAAAGGGGTATGATGGAGTCTTGGGTGAATATCTGTAGAATACAGTCAGGGGGTAAGAGCTACAAAGTGTACATCATCCCTAAGGAAAATAGCCTGCAAAATTCCATGGAGGTGGGAGGGACATCCAGGTGGGACGTGCCCTGAGGTCACCCCGAGACCTGACTCCAGTAGAGATCAGCATCTCCTTCACCTCTCCTGGGAGACTCCTGCTCATATTTACCCTCTCAGAACTCAACTCCTTCCCTGTCTCTGTCAGCAAGAGCTGCTGGCTGGGGAAGGTCATGGCATCCTCTCCACTGGAGGATTTTAGGGGCACGTTGCATTAGGACCTGTCAGATGATAACTGAGCCTAACTTGGCGCAGCAGGCAGGGACTAGCTGACCTGTCAAAGGCCCTCCCAACCCCATTTTGTCATCGTGCAAGGATGGAGGAAGACAAAACCTGAGGAAGAAAAAATGTGCTGCAGCAAGTAGCTGCCAGGTCTGGGGGAGTGCAGGGTTGCTGTGTGGTGGGGAGAGCAGGAGGTGCTGGCAGGAGCCCCTTGGGTGACGGGCAGGGGACACAGCCAGAGCAGGGAGGAGCCAGCCAAGGACTGCAGTAACACATTCCATGATCTCAGAGAGAGAGGAAACAAGGACGTGGGTCATTAGTCAAAGCAGCACGTCAGGTCAAGGGTAGGAGAGGCTTGGTTTTAATTTATTTAAAAAAAATAAATAATAAGAAGGCAAACCCAGTGCATTTCATAACATAGGAGAAAGGAGAACATTGAGGGGATAGAAATGCAGCAAGGGGCTGCAAAATAGAGCAGGATCATGGAGGAGATTTGGACATTGGTCAGAGGCTAAAAGTAAATAGTAAAAATTAGCTGTTTGAAAGGGAGGAAAGGAAATTATTTCAGGAGATAAAAGGAAAGCCAGAGAGAGGGTAGGAGAAATGCTTGACATAAAAAATCAGGTTAAGTCATCCACTTCAGTAGCTTTCTTTTAGCTACAACTTAACATGTGAGATCCTGTGTGTTGAGATAGGTCAGGAGGGGAAGTAGCTTCTGGGTTTTGTGGTGTGGGACAGGTGAGATTTGCATGCATTTGACAGTAAGTCAAGGCATTTGGCTCAAAGAAATGATAGAGAGAGTAAAGGGACTTCAGAGTCTGCCAGCTGCAGACAAAAGTGATGGGAAGTGAATGTTGGATGAGCCAAGGATTCTGGATAGTCCAGCAGACTTCTGAGTCAAAATGTTGGACAACGCAACCCGAGTGAGGAAGATGAAAACACAGCAGAGGGAGGAGGAGGCTGAGAACAGATCAGTCATCCCTGCTGAAAGACTGGGAGTCATGGAGAGGGTGAAGGACGGGGTGAGTGATAAGGACTGATGTTGAAATAAACCATGTGATGTGTCTTAGTGTTAAAATGGGCGTTTCTATCATCGTCATTTCAGTTAATGCAAGCCCAAAGTGCTTCTGGTTCTCACCATGACCTGGGCACTTCCCAAGCCCCCAGTTCCACATCACCAGAGCGCTTTGCTATCTCTGAGCTAATTATCTGTACAGCAGTATGGGTGGTAAGGAATTTCTATTCTGTAGGTAGTGAACTGAGGCATAAAGCAGAAGTATTTTCCTGCCGTCCTGCTACAAGTGGAGGTGGGACTTGAAGCCAAAGTTATCCAGTCCTCTGCTAGTAGCTTAAACACTGACTCATCCTCCCTCTGATCTCCTTCCTTGAGCAGGAGCCACCTTCAAATCAAACTTTCCATGGAGAAATAAAGGGTTTTGGCATATTTTAATGGTTTGTTTAGTGATGCAGAAAAGAAGAAAATCGTATGTTACTTTTGACATTTTTATTATTGGGAAAAAATTAAGCCATAACTCTGTATCTGCTGGTTGATGCAGAGGGTTATTGGAGAAGAGACTTAACAGGGGTGCTGGTGAGAGTGGCCTTTCTCTGATGTGCTGTGATGTGTTTTCCAGATCAACCGTGGGAGCTGGTGTCCGCTGGAGCCATGTCCCGACCCCTCCGGGCTGGAGCGCAAGCGCACGCGGGACTCTCCAGGTGAGCCCTGTGCTGAGGGCAGCTCCACACCAGCAGCCCTCCTCCTCACCTTTGCTATCCCTCCTTTCTCCCTGCTGCTGACATCCTGGCCTGGATGGGGAAAACACATAAATTAAAGAAACTGTGTAATGACTGTGCTCTGAGTCATTGTTAGCACATGGCTGCAGCACTTGGCTAGCAGGGAGCTGTGTAGTGTGTCACCATCTCAAATAACTCTGCATTTCAAGTGCTTCAGTATCTTGATTTCCCCCCCACTTTTTTTTTTTCTAAATAAACTTGAAAGATACTGAGAGGAGCACCCAGACATGGTTTCTAGCTAAAGGGATAATACCATAAAAGAAAAAAATCAGAAATTGAACTCCTAAACCCATATTTAAACCCAAATGAGTGGCTTGAGATTTTTTTTTTTTTCTCCCCCTCTGAAAGTTGCCATGATTCCAAGCTCAGGAAGCAGGAAGGCTGTTCAGAGCCATGGTTCCCACACCCTGCCCACCAGCTGTGCCAAGCTCCCATCCCAGCCCTGCGTGCTGGCTGGTGCTTTCTGGCTCTTCCACTGGGACAGAAAATCTGGTCTGGGCAAGCTTCAAAGAAGGGTTGGTGTCCAAGATTAAAAAAAAAGCATTTCCTTTCATTGGATTATGCATGTTTGAAACAAATAGAGTAATTTATCAGGCCCCTGAACAGGGACTTTGCTTAGGCTGCTCATGGAGATGAGGCTTCTTGCCCTGGTGTCCTTAGGAGCAGTGGTCTCACCCAAATCTCCTTCAATTTATCTGAGACTTGAAAGAAAATGACTGAGTGTCAGTGTGAAATTTAAATTCAGTCTTTCAGACTGTAGGCTAAGAAAGGATACTGTGGGTTAGTGACCTGAGGGGTTTATCCTAAACAGAAGTTCTAGCTCACTCAAAGTTCAGCAAGTGCTTTTTTATTACAAACAGACAACAAACAAAAATACTGCCCTTTTTAGAAAAGTCATTAACAGCAATTGCTTTTTCAAGAGTATTTATACAAGAGAACCTGTGATAATGCTGTGTCTCTTCTTTACTAATTGTATCTGTAAATCCTTTGCCTCTTGGTATAGTATTTTTATGCTTCAGGCAATAGTTACTGCAAACCATTTGTCTGCTAAACTACATGGGCTCATTTGACTTGTGAAATAGATTATCACATATTCCTATGGATCACTATCAGCTGCACACCTATTAATTACCTAATGCAATATTACACTATAGAAACACAATATTAACTATGTAATTAGATAGCTGTATATACAAATTTATATTAATAATTATAGTAATACATGTCTGTAACACATGCATAAAGAGATAGTTTTTTAAGTAAATGTGCTCTCCAGATGGACTGAAGCAGCAGAAAGATCTCAGGGTATGCAAGTTCTGGCCTTCCTAGAAATAATATTGTTACTGCACAGGCATCTTCCTGCTGCTCTGTGATGCTGGGCAGTGTAGAGAGGGCAAGAAAAATCTGGCAACACTTAACAGCAATAAAACCACAAGCTGTCTATGTAGCTAACTTAAAAACACAGTACTTGATAAGGAATTAGGCCTTTTTCATCTGCTGAAATTACCTGCAAGGACAGAGACCTCAGATCTTAGAAGGTAACTCCAGAAACTGGAGCTTCTCATTTTCTGCCAATGCTTTTGAAATTAGATGTGCAGAGAAGTGTAGCAGATACATAGTTATCAGCATGGAATTGAAGGGCTCAGCCCTGGTTTGGAGGACACAAAAGTTCGGAAAATGCACAGAAGATATTGCTTGGAAATGTTCTTCCTCAAGCTTTTTTCTCTGTTTTTTTTATTTTTTGCCTTTGTATTTTGCACAGAAGTGTTGCCAGGGGTGTGAGACACAGAGCCAGGCTTTGTGCAGCGTCTGTGCAATTCAAAACAAACCCAGTAGAATGAGAAAAGGGGAGGGAGAAAATGGAGAAAATATGCACACCTCTGAGCAAAAGTGAAGGAGAGTGTAGGGAAGAGAGGGAAGAAATGAAATGAATGTGTGGAGGGGTCCCCATCACCCTGCTCCTCATCTTTTTTCCTCTCTGCTCTGCATCTCCTCTGCCCCTGGCAGGCTCCTCCCCAGGAGCCTGTGCTGCCTCTTGCTTTATCCTCAGGGTATCCATCCACATCTGAGCTGTCCCCACTGATTTTCCAGTGGAACGTGGCTGGAGCCCCTTTGTTTTTCAGTCTGGGCTGTGGACATGCTGTGCTGGCTGCCAGCTGGATGAACAGCACCTGGCCCACGTCCCCACAGCCGCTCCGTCTCTTCTTTCCCTTCATTCCCCCCCTTCTTCTCTCCCCCTCGGTGATGGAAAAGCAGTTCAGATTTTCCAGGTTTACTGAAAGGGGAACAGGAGCGGCTGCAGCATCCAATAAGTGCTTTTCCAATTCTCCACAGCCTGGAAATTCCTCTATGGGGTAATGAGGTTTCCAACTGGCTTCATCTCCCCCTGCCCTAAATGGGGTCAGCCCCACCACTATCCAATTAATGCTCTTTTCTCTACAAGTGGAGTCACTGCCATCAGCTGGGAGGCGGCCAAGGTGTTCCACAGCTGCTCTCAGGCACAGATTAAGGATGGGGAAGGCAAAGGGGTGACCTTAAGATACCAAACCTGTCATCCTTTCAGTGATGTTTAAGCTTGATATCACCAAGAATGCAGATAGATATAATTTAAGAGTGAACTAATATTTTATTGCCCTGACTCTTCTCCAGACAGCTGAGCACATTTTGGATGTGTTTAGTTAGAGGTGCAAAATAGCACCTTTCTTAAAAACAAACAAACAAACAAACAAAAGAACAACAAAAAACAAACAAACAAAACAAACAAACAAAAAAAACCCTAACTAATAATTAGAAAATATTTTAAACTGGGAAATTTGAGTGTTCAATTTTTGCCAAAATTATAATTTATACTTTTACCTGAAGGGTGAACAAATAAAATATGTACAGACATTTCTTAGGCAAATACTTATCATTCAAAGTTTTGGAAACAGGGCTTTTGCAGGGGCTACGGTCTAGTTCTGTACTCCTGATTAACCCAGTGCAAACAGCTGGAAGCATTTGAGAAAAAAAGAAATGCAACATGCTTATATTTCAGTGTCAGGAGTTAGGAAAGCTGAGACTTTTAAAAAAGAATCACTTAATTTTTGAATCTTGAAAAAGTAAAGCTTGTAATGGAATTCACACTAGTGCTTTTTCAGTAAGTAGTGTAGAAGAGATTAAATAATGGTCCAAATACGCATTAAAAGCACCTTGGCATTTAGAGGGAATTGATTATTTGAGACAGAAAGCAAATATTGACAAGTTATATATTTATATTTATTGGATATTAATCTAATTTTGCATTTGTTGCAATAGATAGGAAACATTCCACGTGCACTGTATGGGAGACCTCATATGTAGCATATTTATCAGCACCTCAAGCTACAAGTGTTTACAGCTGTTTCATGCAGAATTTCAGTTTGCACCATGTACTTCAGTGATGCACTTAAAAATGAGTTTTAAACTGGAATAAATAATTTGAGAATTCACAGTCAGTTTTGAGAGGTGAACAAAAGTATAAACCTTTATTTGTAAAGCTGTGTGTTTTAAATCCTGGAATTCACTGGGAGAATGCGAGTGTGATGTGTGGATTCTGCAGAAAGCCTCAGGTTGTGACTCTTTGTGCTTTTCTCTGGCAGAATGTGAAAACTTCTTGGAGGATGGGCTGAGCAGCGTCTGTGCCTCGTCACAGGGTGGTCTTAAAAGAGAGTCTGGGAGTGAGTCTGACCTCTTCCCCTTGCCTGGTGATGGGATGGAAGACCTTGTCTTTGGGAAGGTAAGAAAGCTTGGTTGGGATACGGTTAAAAAAGCCCCTGATAAACCCTCACAGCACACACAGATCATCTTGGTTTCACTGGTGAATTGGAAACCTGGAAGTGATTATCCTGGAGCCGAATAGATGGGAAGGATCTGGTCTCCTCCTCAGATGCAGCAACATGAGGGATGTATTTACTTGCAGCAGAATTCCAAAAGCTGTGCAACCCCCAATGATTAAAAAAAAAAAAAAAATGGAAGTAATTTTGTCTGTCCAAAAGTAAATCAGGCACCAGAGGAAGAGTTGAAAAGGTGGATTTTCTTGCAAGGTCATTAGGGATTGCACAGACGATATGAAATCCATCTTTAACTCATGTAACAAAGAGCTTTTCTCCAGTAAACTGTGACCTCTGTGCTGCTACCTTCAGATTTATATGCTGTAATTCTCAGAGGAACCAGTGTTTTTCTGTAAATTCAGTGTCATAGGAAGGAAACACTCATTCTAAATACTTCAGGCCAATTCCAGGGAATAGTTTTGTTGCCTAGGCGACATACCTCTAATGCCTGTTTGTGTGCAAGTAGAATGAAAGTGTTTTCAAGTTTGCTTAAAATCAACAACAGAAGTCATTGCTAACCTTAGTCATCCCTGTACCCTTTGTGTTGCTGAGGAGGTGTGGGAGAGACCTGAGAGACAGAGCTGGCCTCCTGAGCAGAGGATGTGCCTCCCTTTTGGCATCAGTCTTTTGCATCTACGTCAGAGCAGCCTGAATTTGTTCAGGGGGTCATTAGGATTTTTCTCTTGAAGAATTGTCTTGCTGTAATTTGTACTCTTCTTGGCATAAACAGATGATGAAAAAGATGATGTAAAATCAAAAGGTATGTGACTCTTCTTTAGAGCAGCCATCACTGTGTTCTCCATGAAATCCCACTCTTTGGTTCAGCTCACAGGTTTGAGCAGGCACAGGTTCTGCTCTGAAAAATGTAACTCTCAGAGTAGCTTTCATACTGGTTTTCTGAAAAATGTATTGATAGAAACAAAATCGTGTTTGCTGAAATCAAATCAGATGGTGGTGACTATTTTCCAGCAGGATGGGAAACACCACAGCCCAGGCTACGTGATCTCATGTGCTATAAATGAACAGTAAAGTCATCCTTAATGCACGTGGCAGGGCACAGAGCTCACCAGCCTCGCCCTTTCCCATCCTACTGTCAGAAGGATCTGGGGCCCTGGGCTGTCAGAGTACAAGGCTGTTTGGCAGAGTAGGCTGTCTTCAGTTCCCTTGTGTAGAGTGACACGGACTGTGACAGGCAGCTGCCATTTGAGTCTGATTTAATGTTTGTATGGGGAAGCGTGGGAGAAAGTGCACTGGGAACACAGCAGATTTTGTATTATAGAGAATTTTAGCTTTTCCCCTTTCTTATGTGGAAAGTTTCCTTCTTCAAATAGGAGAAAGAAAATTAAATGTAACCAGAGCAGGTAGTGCAGTGTAGTAGGGATGCCATAGGGAAAGGAGGAGGTGGTGGGGAAGGCAGGTCTTCCAATTTCCAGTGGAGAGAGAGCAGAGGCAGGAATTCTTTTCTTTGCAGAAAGAGAATTCCTTAATTTAGTAGCCTTTGCATTGTTCTCATTATGCAGTGGGTTGCAGACTTTGTCTTCAAATGGCTTCAAAAGGTTCCTGAGTTGAGTTTAGGAAGTTATTCAAAACTAATCTCAACCTCAGTTGTTTTGTCTTTGTTTTCCTGACCAATTTGATTCCTTGTCTCCTTTCTCAGGATTTATCTGAGTATTTTTTCTACAGTTGAAGTTATTTCTAAAGGACCAGAAAAACTAATTTAGAATTGTGAGCTTGTTCCTTAATTAAATATTTTTTGATTTTACAGTACTGAATCCAGGTGGTAGAAATGCACATTATAGATATTTTTAATAGGCACTAAAATAAATGGTGGCTATAGACTTTTGTCCAAAAAATAGCATAAGGTGCTTTTCTTGGCTGTAGTTGATTATTTATAAACCTATGAAATAGATTCTGTATCAAACTGGGAAGAGACAGAATATGTTTATGAACAAAAAGAGGATCTCAAACATTTCGGTGTCATGGTGATTATTGTTATTACTAGTTCTGTTCTTGTTTCCCTTTTCTGTGGAGCAAGAGTTGAACTTTAGTCTTCTAGAATGGTTTACTTTTTGTTTTATTTATTTATTTATTTAATGTAGAAATAACTCCTTCCTTGCTAACTGTTTAATGCATTATAATAAATGTAGGAAGAACAAGTTGCTGTCTGTGCAAGGTCTTTGGGCTGCTTCCCCTTGAAATGCATTGACTGAAGGCTCTGATTCTGTCCCAGGACCATGAAGAATTGGGATCTGTGGGGTCACAGAATCTGCAGGTCCCTGGTGCTTGTTGTGTGCTCCTTCCTCTCCCATCTCCTTCCCTTCTCCTGTGCTTGTTTCATTTCTTTCTCTCTCTGAAAGACGTGTGCTGAGCTGTGGAACATGAGCTGTCAGGTTGAGAGAACTTTAGCACTAAAACCTGCCCCTTTTTTCCAGACTATACAGGCCATCACTGAGATTCAGAAGTTGCTTCCAAGTCTATGGCTTCAGCAAAATATTTATTTATTTATTTTTTTTCACGTCAGCACTTCCATTCCCATGTCCTCATCATTTCTGTCCCAGACAGCCATCTGGGCAGGCTTTGCAGCATCCTCCTTCTGGGATGATTAATGCTGCATAAGGTCATTTCTCACAATCATCTGGCAACATCCTGAGGTGGAGCCCATAGGCTTTGCTCATCTTAACTTTCAACCAGCCACCAAAGTCCAGCATTGCTGGGAAGTTTTTTAATGTGCCTCTTGGGAAATGATTCAGATGAAGGGAGTCAGGAGCACACAGATCATTGTCAAAGGAAGGGGTTGCAACTCAGAGTCTTGAATATTGTTTATTTTCTGCTTTTGTTTTGGTTTGCTCAAAGAAAATACACAAATACATAAATGTTTTGCATTTATTTTTGCGGAGTTGTTGTCGCTCTTACAAAAAAACAAAAAAAAAAAACCCAACAGCTGTGAAAAAAAAACCAAACAAAAAAAAAAAAAAAAAAAAAAAAAAAAAAAAAAAAAAAAAAAAAAAAAAAAAAAAAAACCACAAAAAAAAATCCAAAAATGCAAAAAACCCCAAAAGGAATAAAAATTTTCAGGGAAAAGCTTTCACCTCCACTCCAAATCATAGAAGTTATGATAAATAATTTATAGAAGGCCACTTCTATTGAGGTTCATTTTAGGGAACCTGGAACCATAGGCAAACCCAAATTAAAAAAATACTCTGCTGGATTATATATCAAGCCAACTAAAGGTGTTGACTCCTTTAGTGGAATGGTATTCCAAATAAACTTCAGGATTACAAGGTTTAATTTTTTTCATCCTCTTTTTTAAAATACTCTTAACACCTTTAATGTCTTTGAAGGTCAGGGGACAGAGAAAGTTTGTGTCTCAGCACTTTGCATGCTGTCATCATGGAAATGATTGAAAGAACTTTTGAATTCCCCTTATCAAGACCTCCTACAGTAGAGGGATTTAGTTGAAGAAGTTATCTTATACCCCCACCATCCCAGTGATTTCTGTTATTTCTGGAGAAGTACATGTGTCCTTTCTCAGAATACTCACAGAAGCTTCTCGGCAAATCCTGAGGGCAAAGAAAATGCCTATTAGCAAATGTCTGTCAAGGCTCTTTTTGGCCACAGTTTATGGTCACAGTTAAGTCCTGAATTCATTGAGGTGCAATCCAGCATGCCTAACTTGAAGAAAATTAGTATTTCTGTAATGTTTCCTTTTTTCTATAAGATTAGAACACATTCTGTTCTGCAAACATTGTGTTTTCTTACTCAAATAGGATTAAAGAACAATGCATATTTACTGGCCAGACAGCTCATTTTTTGCAGTGGTGACAACAATATAGATGTTTCAGATGTGTCAGCCACACTTGGCATTTTTCAGACAGAGTAGTCTTTCATATTAACTGTTATCCTTTGTTTAAAAAAAATCATGGAAATGACGACAGAATATTTTTAGAAGAATAAGCATGGGCCACAAGTTCAAGGGAATTGTTCATTGTGTTCTGTTGTCAGTCGAATGCTCAAGGTAAAAGTTAAAATGGATCAAATGTATTTCCCTTTTTTCAAACATCTCCTTGAATGGTATTTTGTGATAAAAGCCCTAAATCTTCCTTGTTAGGGAAGTGGGTTTTGTTGTGTATTTCAAACTGCAGCAGTATTCTTGTCTGGGAAATAAAAATTCCTTTTTACTCTAATTCCTCTCTATTTAATATGGTGTTCTGCACTATTGTTTCTAGATTTGCATCCAGATTGAAAGTTTCTGACCTGTCCCATACTTCACACAGCTGATGGGGTGAAGTCAGTCCTCTCCTCTCCTGCTCTGCTGCCCCAGTCCCAGAATCACAGAATGGTTTGGGTTGGAAGGGACCTTAAAGCTCATCTTGTTCCAGCCCCCTGCCATGGGCAGGGACACCTTCCACTATACCAGGTTGCTCCAGAGCCCCATCCAGTCTGATCTAATGCCTGACAGTATTTTTCTGTCTTAGAAAAGTGGCAGACTGTTTCCTCCACTGTAGGAGGGTTACCCACGTAATGACTACTTGATTTGTCTGTATATAAGCAATTCAGCAAGCTCTCATCATGACTCACACAAATATCAGATTGTCTTGAATACTGCTGAACATCATCAAAAACTTCTCAGGGCTTCCATTTCAGCTCTCTTTTCTTTAAACCTCAGCTTCCTATTCAAATGTATCAAATGCAACAGTTCACTAGTTAATGGAACTTAGTTTTCTGATATTCACTATTAATGTTTGACATACCTTAACATGAAGTGAATGTTTTTGTAAGGATGTATTTTTAGTGTGGTTTTTAATGCTTTGTATTTAAAAGGTTCTTGTATTTTGGTGTTGTGCTGTGAATGCTGTCCTTTTTTTTTTTGTCCTCTGTTTTCCTTTGATGGATGTGAGAAGGGAAGCAGTGTGACAACATTTAGTTAAACCACCTCAGGAACATTATTGTGTATCTGTTACACTGGACTAAGAGTAAAAAATAGCTAAGCTTGAAACAGGGCTTCTCTCTGAATAGTGAAATGTTAGATTAGAAGATATATTGAATATCTCAATTTCTTTCTGTTCAGTTAAATAAAAAGCTTATAGTGTGTGCCCCTCAAATAGAGCACAGAAAAACAAAAGTCTCTGGACTGTTTAACACCACTCCTGCTCATCCTTCCCTCCATGTGGTCTGCTGCCCATCTTTCCCTTCCAAGAACAGGATTTTGCATCCAGTTGTCTTCTGCCAAATGCCTGCTGACAGCCTGCAGCCCCTGGGGCACTCAGCTCCTGCCCAGCCCCCGGAGCCACTGTGTGAGGACCATTAACCACCAGGGCTTTGCTGACTGCTCTGTGCTGCATGGCCTGACAGAGCACTCTGCCTGTTATTATTTTAAATGATACAGCACAGGGCTTTGCAGCAGGATAAATTGAAACTTCCCATGTCAGTCCCTCAGGGCAAACACCATTTCAGACTGGAAGTGATGTCAGAGAGGTGCTTGTGTTTTTTATAGTGGCCCCAGGGGCTGTATGGTCAGCATGTGGCCTTTGGCCAGAGAGAACCAGTTTGGCTTCTACATACTGCTTTTGGAGCAAACTAAACCCAAAAATTGCAGTATGACTCAAAATCTCTAATACAGGGCAGCTTTTCCTGTAGAACAATATTTGTCAATGACAGTTGGATTTAAAAAATGCTGCAAACCCTGGTATTAGCTTTCTGCTTAATGGAAAGTAGCTGTGGATGGAGAATTAAGCTTATATTTTTTTTCTGTCTGTTTTCTGCTGCTGAGTAATTCTCCTTTTTGTGTCGCATGGTGCAGTGGAACAGTGTGTTGCCCTTGAGCTCTACAAGCCCATCCCAGCTCTACAGGAGAGGCTGGAGTTTGTCATCAGGAGTTGTGATAACCCCCTTCCCCATTACTTGCTCTCAGTAAACCTTTGGCAGTTTTATGGCACCTTGATTGATAACAGGTTTAGCCAGAAATGGTGAGAGGAACAGTATCTGCTGTGCAAGATGAAATATAGAATTGGGGATAGGAAGACAGGCAGAGGATATGAGCTGGAAGTCTGGCTAATGGCAGCCAGGGGCTTGTGGGGTGGAAGAGATAACCCTGCAGAGCATTTCAGCCTCTTCTGAAACCACAGCAAAAAGTCTCAGTTCTATGATGGTTAATTTGCCTTATGTCTTATGACTAAGAAATATCTGAGCTCATGTGAAATTCAAAATATTTGAATTTATTTAAAATGTTAACACTTCATTGGAAGTGTTCAGGACCAGGCTGGATGGGTCTTTGAACAGCCTGATCTAGGGAACAATGTCCTTGCCCACAGCAGAGGTGTTGGACTAGCTGATCTTTAGAGGTCCCTTCCAACCCAAACCAGTCCATGATTCTACTTTAACTGACTTTTAATTTTTCTTTCCCCAGCAGCCTGAAGAGGAGCAGTCTGCCTGCGATGTCACCAGCTCCAGCTCCTCTGCAGACGACACCGTGTCCCTGGAAAGGAACTCATCCCTGGGCAGCGACACGTCCCTCCCCTTCCCACCCATGGGGAGCTTCACCCAGCCCAAGGACAGGCACAGCCTGGATGGCAGCTGCACCAACATGGTGTGCTCAGAGGGAGGAGAGAAGGAAGAGGAGCTGGACAGCATCACGGACGTGCCCGCTCCTTCCTCCGTCCTGCGCAGCTCCATGCGGCCGCTGTCTCCTTTCCGCCGCCACAGCTGGGGGCCGGGCAAGAACGCCACCAACGAGGCAGAAATCAATCAGAGGAGGTGAGTGAAGAGCTGCTTTCATTTACTCTGCACCCACTCATGCATATTTATCTGTGCTTTAAACCTGGCATGATAAAACTGAAGAGTTTATCACGTCACTTTTGATTATTTCTTTTTCATTTTGAAGAGGTTAAGACAATCTCCTAATGTATGTTTGTTTGGTTTTTCTTAAATTGACTTTCAGGATTAAAGTACTTAATACCTACAGTATGCTTGAACTGTCCAGAGTAAATGGAATTACCTCAGGATAGGTCTTCCATTAGAACTGTCACCACCTCTTCCTGTACAAAGGAATTATTGGAGTGTTAAATTTCACTGACCACAGAATAAACATGACCATCATTGCTCTGATTGTATTAAGGGATAACACAGGCACCAGGGTTTAAAAAAATTCTGTGGAAGATCTTCATAATGGTGAGATACCTTACTCATCACTGATGTTCCTGGTGTTCAGGAAGATTCAAAAGAGAAGTTTTCCCATCTGGTTTTTCAGAAAGTACAAGGGGCAGAGGTGTATGAGCCATGTGAATGTGTCCATGCTGGTGCCAAGGGACTGTGGGAACAAAAGTTGCTCATTCCCCCATTTCAGCGGGGAAGAAGATGAAATAAAGGAAGATGCACGCCAAAAAGTAGTAATTGGTGTGAGGTTCCCTGCCATGCCCTGCACTGTTCAGCATTTGGCCTGCAGGATGCTTGGGGCCAAACCCTGTGCATTCTGAGCCCAGTGGAGGTTTGGCCAGTGTTTTTAATGTGCTTTCATGCTCTGAGAGCAGGAATGGGTTGCTTTAGCAGGATCAGGGTGCCATACCCTCCCTGCAGCTCACAGAGGCTGCAGGCCCAGGTGTGCAGGGCAGTGCCACTCTCTGGTGCCTGTTCTGTCCTCATGGCAAAAGTTCTGCTCTTAGCAGAAACAGCCATTGCACGTGGGGCTGCATGGAATTACATTAAAACTGTCCACTCACAATGGGTTCCTGAAAATTCTGACCCCTTTGGATAATCCAGGGAGAGGCAGCAGCCTCCTATCAAGAATGTATGCATCCTTAACACACAGCAGCTGTGGCTGTCACTAAAGGAATATCACCTTCAGGTTTTAAAGTCAATGTTGAAAACCATTCAGGATTTTCTAATTAACGTACAGTGAAAGATTTTTGTTGTTGTTGTTTAGCACTGTCACCTTTTTTGGGCTTCATTCCTGGTCCTCAGGTAATATTTAAGTAAGTTAAGAAATCCCCATCAATATTTAAAAGCAAGAAACGAGTCAGCATACCTGCAGGTTTATGACAGAATGAGTCCATAAGCTCATGAACTAATTTGGGGAGATTTATTTTTAAGTGTAGGGCCTGATGCATAAGGATTTGTGAGGGTAATAAACTGCATACCTGGCAGTCACTGCTAACACTGAACAGATGGGGTTAAATTCTCCTGCATCACACTTTGGAGGCTGTTTCTGATGTGGGAGAATACATTCATTGTATGTGTAAGAAAATCTGAGTTAAAGGAACAGTAATTCTTGTCATATGTTCTCACAGCTGCAGCTGCATAAGGATAGCTGTCCTGTAGGGTAGTTAGAGAAGCTGGGTGGGTCTTTGGTGCTGATTAGATTCATGTTTGTTTTTATGCTTCTTTTAGAAAGGAATTTGGATTATTTGCTGTGTTGTTTTGTTCTTTTCTTTGTTATTTTCATATGTGGCTGTTGTGATGTTGAGGCTCTTGTTGCTTAGTGAGAAACAACAAATACTGAGGAAGTGAAGTGCTAACAAGTGACTTTCACTCAAATCAGTTAAATTTGGAGTGTTTGCTTATTCATTTATTTCACATGCAGCAGATGATTTTCCAGTAGAAGGGGAAAAGTCCTTATTGCAACTTGACTTTTGCAAACCTTTGGAGTAACACTGAGCACAAGCCTTGGCTGAGGTTTGTCCTGCTGATGGGCAGGATCTGTGCTGCTCCCACCACCCTTTGTGGTCCCTTCCCTCCTATGGGCACCCATGGCACTTCTCTGCTCTGTAGGTGAGCAGCTTGCACTCACTAAATGAGGAGAAGAATAACCAAATAAAGTGTAATTGCCACCAAAACCAGCCCAAGGATCAGAACTGGGCTGTGCAGCCAGGAGGAGGAATGAGGTGACAGTGCAGCATCCGCTGACCTCTGAGAGGTGCTTCCTGCCCCAGCAACAACTTGCAGCCCCCATCCACACCAAAAATAGTCCAGACTTTGATGACAAAGATAGCTAAGTCAAGCTTAGATAGAGGACCCAAAAAGCCTACAGAAAAAAAAAAATCAGCCTTTTGTAAAATTTGGTCTTTTCCACTGCTATGTGTTTTCTGTTTGTAAGAGGGATGAGTATAAAAGTTTGTTCACAGAAAACACCAGGAAAAAAATAATCTTAAATGAAAATGTGAAAACATGCTCAGTTCCCCTTCACTTCCCATCTTTCCTCAAATGCACTTCACAGATAATTCTCATGTCTGTATTTTGCTATTAAAAATACAAAGAAAACCAACAAGGCTGCACAAAAGGAGCATCCTTCAGTTAATTCCTGACATTCATAGCAGATTTGAAATGCCTGTCTTTCAACAATGCTGCAGTGTGTGTTAAATATCCAGGCTGGGGAAAGAAACACCCTCATGTTTCACTGATGGATTAATCACAGCAGAACTGGAGCTGGTGTTAATCACTGTTGCTAAAAGCTTCTGTCAAGTGTTTGGCCTTATCTAAACTTTAAACTGACCTGGCTTTGGTGGCAGCAAAGTTGCAACATGGTCAGTACCTGTGCAGCCTTCTTTTTGTACAAAATAAAAGCAACCAAATCCCAGATTTGTTTGTAGAAGAGAGGAGAAACACAGAGACTCATTACTTCCTTTCATGTTCCATTTTGTGTTTTCCCTGTATGTCCATTCCCTCTGTCTGTGTGTTGGGGATATTAATCCTTTAGCTGCCATTTGTTAATTTTTTTTTCATTCAAGCTGCTGACCATTCTCCATGATTCATTTTCAGTTCAATGCGAATTCTGGGGGATGGTATAAAGAAGCCTCCCATTCATAGGAGAAGGTACAAAGCCAACTAATGTGACTAACTGTTTTGTGTTTAAATGTCTACTAACTCCATCCTCTCCTGTTAGCAAACCTGTAGTACCTCCGGAAGTGTTGACATTGGAGCTGTGCATCCCACCTGGCTGCTTTCTCTCTCCAGTCTGACCCAGGGCAGGTTTTGTGCCCCACAGGGCACATGCTGTTTTCTCCAGGATATTATATTAATAATGAAGAGAAATCTCAGATATGATTTTGTTGGCCTTTTCCATATATAAGATTCGGAGTTGGTTAAACAGAGTTTACCTGGGAGCTTGTGTGTGGTTTGGATTTAAAGCACATCAGAGACTCCTGGCACGACTTGAGGAGGGGCTGCTGGGGGAGGGGATGGGTCACACATGATCTCGGAGTTGGAGAACACTCTTAAGATCTGCAGCTGGTTGAATTAAATGGCTTTAATTTTGCTCTTTTGATGGTTCTGTAACCATCTTCCTAAAAAATAGAAAATAGGTGTGTTTTTACTTCCATGTGTTTTTCCTCTCTATAACAAACTTTCAGTTTCTCATCCATCCCACAGATACGCAGTTCCACCCATGTAAGCTTTGCATTGATTATTAGTATATAAAAGAGGATACTTAATTTTTGACACAGCAGGTGTGGACTGTCCACACTTAGACATTTTAGGCTAAAGAAAGAAGGAGAAGTTGAACTTCTGCCCTTCAGTGGTTCAAGCTTGTCTCACCTCCCTTAGCCTGCTACCTCCCCTCCTGTGCCAGGTTAACTGGGGATTTCACTTCACTTGAAATATGGATGGGATGTTGTGTGTGTAAACAAGCTACCATATTCCCACATGTGAAAAGAATGTTACCATGATGTTATGACCAAAAAAAAATCACTGTGCCTCACCATGCATCAGCATCAATGAACCCTAGCAGCACTGTACAGTTCTCTAAAAATATTTTTCTTTTTTAAAAAAAGACACAGGAAAGAGCGTGCTTTTTAAAGCATGTTCTTCTAAGAAGCTACTTCATTTGCAGCACTGCAGGAAGCAGTGCAGTGCTTGTGTTCTCAGCTCATGCAAATGAACTTCTTTTATCAGTATTCTCTTAAGGCTCCTCTGTAGGAGCTGTGTTAATATTTAGAGTCAAAATATCCTGAAACACTGAGCTTACATGTAGAATAAGGAAAATGTCTAGAATACCTGGTCATATCTGAAATGTGTAATAATCCTTTCATAAACACTTTCTCACTTTTTCTGGTCTCTAAACCATTTTGGAATCATCCTCTCTAACCCCACTTGTGGAGCAAGAGCCTGAAACTGATTCCAAACTGTTTATGCTCTCCCACAAGGCTGATGTAGATAAAAGCTCCTTCTCCTCTCAAAGCTGTCTTCTGTAAAGGATTTTTGCATGCTCTGCATTGATCCTTTTAGGATTTTATGGTGTTGCAACAGGCTGTGGGTGGCTCCCCCGCAGGACTGTGATTCTGCAAGAGTGATTTCCACAGCCTTTGCCAACAGATCCCCTTCCTTCCTTCTCCGAGATCTCAACACTTCCAGGGGTCCTCCTACATATGTAGGGCTCCTCTTCTTCCCTCCCTCTAGTTTTCTATTTCTCTCCCCTCAAGTTTAGCACTTGGGATCATCTCCATAACATGGCAATGGTCAGGAATAGAGGCACCTTTTAGAGGCTAGTGTAAACATTGCATGATTAATGAGGAGAATCTTCTTTCCTTTGATTGAAAAGGGACCACACAAAAATGAGTGCCTTTGGATAGCAAGGTGACATAAGGATGTCTGCAAGGGTCCACCAAGCTCAGTGCTCTTGTGGCCACAAGCAGATGGCCTGGGGAATCGTGTGTGACACCTTCCTTGGGATGCTTTCTCTGCTGCCCTGAGCAGGTCTGAGTGACCCAGGGAGGCTGAACCCAGGCCTGAAAGTGCAGGTTGTCTGTGATGGAGATGGATTTCCTGTGGCCCAGCCTTGGTTCATTCCTCTGTGATTTCACACAAGTATTTTAGTCCCTGCCATCCCCCACTAATACTTAAACATCTGCCATTGTGGTTGAAGCAGGTGAGGATGATGAAGTACTTGGAAATACTGGCATGTTATGAGAAGGAATGTTTTCATGGAGAATGGTTATAGTACTGTGCTGAGAGCTCCTGGTGAGGCACAACTTTTGGGTGCAAAGCTTTTGGTATATCCTCACCCAATTAACATCCTTTATAAAATGGGCAGCAACTACGTGAACTCTGCCACTCAACACCCATCCAGATTGTTTCCAATTGCCAAACCTTTCCAGAATGTTTCCAGTGTTGCAGTGTGTGTGGAAACAATATGAGATGGCATGACATGATACATTCAGTAGGTTTAAATCTTCAGCTGTGCCCTCAGAGGCTTCTGGCACTTACAGTTCATTGTCCAGGAATGTTTAAATTTGTTCTGCCCTTTTCTTAGGCTCCTGTCATGGGGCAAAGAGTGCTCTGGCTGTGTCCCCTCCTTGCCTGGATCTCACACCAGGACCTGGGAGCAGGACTTGTGCTTATGCAAAATTCCCTTCAGACAATGTATGCTTCCTGAACAGCTTTTTCAGGATTTAGGGATCATATAAATGTCATAGCTGACAAGAAGATGGATTTCTCTGTTTCTGCAAAACCTGCAATTGGGCCATGAGCTAACAGAGAAAAATAACAAAAGCAGTCTAAAATAACAGCCAAAATATTTGCATTCTGTATTTGCATTTCTTATGTCTTTCATGATGCAACATTGGGACTCTTTCGGGGAATGGGAGCTGAAAGGTTTTTTAGTTAGAAGCACTCTTGATTTAATCCCAAATCAATAATAAGATTAGCCTGTTTTTTTTCTTCCAGCCTCTTTCACTGACTGTGAAGCATTTAAGAATGTGTCTTTCTCCTTATTTTTCCAAGTGTAGCCTGAGGTTATTAATATTTCTATGGAGGGGACTTACACTGTGAAATATCTGTAAGGGATTCTTTTTCTGATTTGAGAATGAGAGTTCCCAGGAAAATACTAATAATCACTAACACAATGGCTGTGTGTGACTACTTACAAATTGGCTTTGGTATGTTTTAGCCTTGTTTTTCCCAAAAACCTCTCTCCCCTCAAGGAGTACTTTATGCAGTACATTGTATACTTGCTGATGGGGTCGTTTTGGGGGAAGCGTGGGTTGTCCTGCTCCCTATTCAGTGGTAACCTCAGGCATTTGGAGCACTGTGGTCTGTTTGTACAACCAGACGTGTGCTACTGCATTATTTCTGAGTTTGTTGGGTTGTTTGGTTTTTTTTTAAGATATGTGAGAGTGAGTCTTTTAACATTCCCCATGTTCCATAACAACCCGATAATCACTGCCCTTTTCCTTTCTTTGCCTCTTTTGCTGTTCCTAGTTTGAGCTGGTGTCCCTCAGGCGTACAGTACATTGCCATGGGTCCTGACTTTACTTGTAGAAGGTATGGTATGAATAAACGTGCAGCAGCACAGGAGCTCTGCAAGCACCCTGTCATCAGCTTCTCGTGCATCGCCTCCTCCACTGCTGCTCTGGCTGAAGCGTGCACGTGTTTGTTTGCTTGGTCTGCTTTTTCAGCAACTACTCTTGGGAGAGGATCCTCAGAGCTGGGCTGCAGGTGGAGGTGGTGGCTGCTTTCCAGTGGCCTCTGGCAGTGAAGAAGTTGCACTGTTGTGTTGAGCTGCTCTGTCCAGTGATGACTTCAAGCCGTGTTTTTTTCCACAGCAGTGATCAGAATGATAATCACAACAGCCAAAGAATCAAAACAAGATTAAATGTGATTCAGCACTTCCCTGTACCAGATCAGTCTCATAAAGGATTTAAGTTCACACAGACTTGCTCTCTGTAAATTGAAAGACCTAGGTTTTTCTTCAAGGAGATGAATTGTGTAAAACCTTCCCTAAAAAAAAAAAAACCCTGATCACCACAGATGAAAATTTCCCAGGCTCTTAAGTTTTGCATCTTTTGTAGAAAGTCCCAGTGCTGAGATTGATGTTTGCAGGTCACATCTTTACCCAATTTTGTTTGGAAGCCAGTCCCCCAGATTTTATGGCTTTATAGCTTTACTCTGGCAGTTTTTGCTGGTTGTGGGTAGAGCCATTAAAACTCTTTTTTCTGAAGAGTAGATATTGAGAAATAAACCTGCCCTTCTTGGACAGTTAATTATGTTTGGTGGATATATGCCAATCAGCAACTTACAGACCAGTATCACTGATAACTCTTTTATGGGCTAATATTTGCAGGTTTTAGCTAGTTTTGTCACAAGTACATGATTTTTTTTTTTTGCTACTGTGTAGCATTGTTGTTGCCACCTTGGAATGTAAAAAAGAGATCTTCTTCTGTCATAAATAATCAGTAGAAATTGGAGTGATTTCTACCTACAGGTGTTTTAGAATAAACTTTTAAATGCCTGCTATTGATACATGTTGATTAGTCACAATCTTCCTAAAGCAGATTAAATTATAAATGCTTCAACCAGTCTTTTTTTCTCATTAATTACCATGAAAGAAGGTTTTTTTAAATTACTAAATCTTCTTATTCATGGTTTCTTGCAGTTTTTGCTTTCAAGGTGCATATTTATGAACCTTTTAATGCTGCAGAAAATTAATCACTGCTATGCAAGTCTACATGAACTTAAAGCTCCTCTGGTTGTTTAAATCATCTGTACAGCCTATAGTATGTTTTCTTTTTCATGTGTTTACATGTCAGCTTGTTCACCACAGACATCCTGATTAGCCTTGGGTTGGGATATAAATCCAGTGTAGGGTTGGGACTTAGTGAGTATCAAATCAAACATTAACCATGGATCTGTGCTTGTGTCCTGGGAGGAGAATCTGCAAAGCTTCACCCAGTGAACCCACACTGGCATTTCAGCAGGTTTGTTGATCTTGGGCACGAGCAGCAAGACGATCAGAAGCAGAATGTTAGGGCAAGATTTATCAGATTAAATAGTCCCATGTGAGAGCAGGTGTGTTTTGTATAGGTGAGAGGAGAGTCTATTAGTGTTTTTCTGTAGGGGTCACTTGTCTATCAGCACCTGTCTCTACAGAATTTGGCCAGACATTTTATTTCTAACAGCTCTCCAAGCAAAAACTTAGTATTTTATTTAGCTTTGAGTTATTGCCCTAGCTCCTAGCTAGCTCCCTCAGTAGATGATAAAATAAAATTGATTGGGTGATGGAAACAACATTTATTGAATTTAAAAACAAAACCACAGTACGTGTAAAAAAATAAACCAGCTTTGGCAGAATAAATGACATTATCAGTGCCAAAACTGTGCAGTGTCAAGATTCAAAACAGATTCAGAGGATGTGGCTGCAGAGATGAGTGTTACAGCAGCTGATGTGGGAGGGATGTTGGTCCAGGACAGGCAGCACCATGCTATGCATGGTTTGATTTGGGTGGCTTTATTCCAGGGGAGAGCCTAATATAAAGCTAGCAAAGAGAATATGTGGAAATGCCAAAAACTTCAGAAGAGGTGTTTCTGGATTTTCCTGTGCACCACTCAAAAAGAGTTAAAAAAACAGTAGGAAAGGCAATTGACAAGGAGTTTCAATGGTTGTTCAAGCAATGAACAAACCTTTATGCCTCATTAGAAGCACAAAGATGTTGCTCTTTGCTCTGAAGAAAAAAGAACATGCTGAGGAGTAGCACCTGCCTTTGCCTGCACACTTCAGTGCCTGCTCTATGTGTTTCGTGTTTGCAGGTGCTCTGCTGAAAGACACTGAGGGTTTGGCAGCACCTGACCTCTGTGCTTTTCCTTTAGTTACAGCCTAGAAGGCCTTGCTGGAGACTCTGGTGAGAACAAGAAGCCCTCTACAAACCTGGAGGCTTCTTCTCTGAGCTCCAAAGACCTCAGGAGGAGTCCACTTGCCAGCAATCAGTCCCTGGTCCTGCTCACTGAGGAGCTCGAGCAAGGAGAAATCAGAGACTACAACCACCAGGTAAAGCTGTCCAGCTACTGTTGGATGTCTGGGAAACGCTATATTAACATTTTGGAAGTCATTTTCCCAAGTGACAGTCTGACAAAGGCTTCCACCTTATATGTACATACACATAATATTAAAAATCTTCTGTCTTTGACATGGAGGAATCTCCAGCTATTTTAAATTTTCTACTTTGTTCTTTGGGGCAGCACAACACTTGTGTCATCTCTTGCTTAGAGGAATGGCATCTTTGGGGAACAAACTGCTAAGCATCAGATTTTTTTTGTCATGTTGAACCACAGCCTAGTTCTGCTGAGGAGCTGGAGTCACAACAGCAATTTCCATGGCCATCAGAGAGCTTTAACAATATCTGGTTTTTAATGTCTTACAAGAAAATCAAGCACACATAATCTGTTGCATAATTAATTGACATTCTTGACGTGCTCAATGTGGTTCTGTTCTGTTCTGCAGGTGCATCAGACATCACAGCCACAAGGATTTAACTTCTGTTCTTCTGCTGTTTCATCTCCACTGACCAAATCCGTGTCTCTAATGTCAATTAGCAAACCAGTGCTCGACAGTGAGTAATCTAGTTTTCCTTATCCACTCTGTCCTCTGTATAATTGAGTATATGTTGCTTCCTTCCCAAGGCAAAATGTGCTACTGCCCGCTCATGCTTCCTTTATTACATGAAGTACACATTTCACTGCTGCATGGAATTGTGGGTGGAAAGGCAGAACTCATTCAGTTTGGTTCTGTTCTTCCCAGTGTATCCCTACTGTTTTCTTTCTCTTAGGTTTCATTTGTGTGGGTTGCTTTTTTCTTTCTAAATTAGACTACTGGTACGAAAACTATGATTTATTGAGTATGTTAACTAAAAAAAAATAGGAGCAAGGATGCAAAACTAAAACCTTTCTGACTTCCTTCTTTTAATGTCAGGTAAATTCCACTTGAGGTCTTACTTCCCTTCATCTAGACTTTTTTAAAGCTGATCTGTGGAAACTTGAAAATCCATGTCTTGATCTCCTTGGGGGAGTTTGTTGCTGTTCATTTTGAGTTAAATATTTTGGAGTAGTTATTCAATAAAATAAATATTTATTGAATCTAATTCCTGAAGAAAATAATAAAAGATGATTCTATAAAATTTTCCAGTTTAGCTTAATTGAAGCGATAACAAGCACTTAATTTTGCAACTTGGCTGAATTGATTCTTTCAGCTGAAAAAGTCATTCAGAAGGCTGCAGCTGGATGTGCTTTGGATGTGTTACACATGTTTTCATTTTATTAATTGCCAGCCAGAAACCCTATTGACGTTTTAGCTCTTGTCAATTAGTGATGGTGTCTGATCTTTCCTCTTTATTAACATGATTCTCCCTTGCAAAGCACAACAGGATGCTTTAAGAAAGGTGTATTATTGATGGAGGAGACTTGCTGGAGAAAGATCACAGGGATTGTGCTTTGTAGGAGATGGTTTTAAATTCTTCACCATGATAATTCTGTGATTAACAAGGATGTGACCTAATGAACATGTAATAACCAGCAGCAGTAACCAAAATGGGTCCTGTGAAGAGACCAGATCCTGCCCTGTGTGGTGGCATTGCCTCTTCCCTCCTTGGGCTGAAGGTCTTCATTGTTGTTTTTTGAGGCATCCAATTTCTTGGCATTGCACCCAGCCTCTGACCAAACACCAAAAATCTTGGCTGGCTCCCCAGAAATGAGCTATTGGTGGCTGAGGAAGCCTGGATGTCCAAGGCTGTTAAAATGTTCTGTGGCCTGGTATTAAAAATGCCATGGAGGCTTGATTATCCCATCTCCTTCTAGAACCAGCCTGGTCCCTGGAGAAAGAAGGAAAAGAGAAGATGTAGTAACCTCTCCAGAGGGGCTGAGGGCTAAGTAGCAGGGTTAATCTTCTGCTTTGAGGCAGATGTCTGTGGGTTTGGGACACTGAATGTAAACATTATTAACATTCCTCTAAGCTTTATTTTCTTAGTCATTAATTTGTGACATTTTTATAGGAAGGTGGTTTTTGAAAATCAGAGCATTTGAGGGATTGATGTGAGCATCCAAAAGGAATAAACACTTGGAAAATTTAGCTAATGGATTTTTTTTCCCAATCATGACACCTTCCTGACTACAGAAACTTCAGTAAATCATCCAAAGGACCACATCCAGCATTCCTGGAAGTGTCCAAGGCCAGGTTGGATGAGGTTTGGGGTAACCTGCTCTACTGGAAGGTGTCCCTGCACATGGCAAAGGCCTGGAACTGGATGAGTTTTAAGGTCCCTTCCAACCCAAACCATTCTATGATTCCGCTTCATTCTTCCCCTTTGAAAGAGGGACAGTGATATTTGCATTGTGACCATAGGACAGTTTGGTGCCTCTTACAAGAAGGTCTTGGTTTATAAACTTCCTTTTGTCACATGTCCCTTGATGCTCATGCTTTTCCAGCAGGACATTTAAGAGTTATGCAAGAATTATATGAAATCTAGGACAAATTCAGTTCTTTATTCCACTTGCATAATTTTGTGGTAGGTGTTTAAAAAAAAAAAATACACTCTCATCGCTGCAAATGTGTCTGAATGGGAAGAAAGCAACATGCTGTGATCAAGAACTTTAAAAACCAAATCCAGATATGGAGGGTTTTCTATTATTTTTACTGTTTATTGTCATATGTGCTGAGACAGGAACAATTTCCAAGACCAAGTTCCTAGCCCACACCCCATCTGATGTGTCAGATGTTCCAAGAGCTGATGTGGCCATTCACAATGTTAATCCTTCAGCATTTTATAGAGGGAGGTCACAAGAGCTGTTGGCTGGAGTGCTCGGAAGAATGCTTTTAGGGTTGGAATAGCAAATTTCCAGTGTGGAGCACTGTTATAAAGCCAGGAATTGCTATAAATAAAACCACTGCAATGGAAGTTGAACTGTGCTGGCAAAAGTGGTTCAATTTACAGTAAAGTATTATTGTTCATCTTGACTTTTAGTCTAAATAGACAGTAGACTACAGAAGAAAAGGCCATGTTGCCTTATTGTGTTCTTCATGCCTGGAACACTAGAACAACTCCTTCAACAGGCAGTCTAAACAAAACTAATGCATGGGTCTTCCTAAGAATTCTTCAATTGAAATGCCTTTACTGTGCACATTTTAGTCAAATTGCCTGTAGACAATTGGCATTTGTGACTAATGGCTAGAGGAGACGTTCAGGGGAGTTTGTCTGCATTGCTTTCCTAGCATTGGCTATTCCTTGGACAGTTTTTTTATTCTGAATTCAGTTTTGATGTATGATACCAGCCATGCAAAAAACCCTCATTGTATGTGGCTGACAGGACATGTTTTATTCAAAGAGAGAAATAATTGCTTTGTCTTTCTCTTGGAAGATTAGTACTGATAAAGTCTTTGCCTATTTTCCCTGTTCTGCAAGTTGATGTATCCATGGAATTGATGTATCCATGGAATGACTTAAAAGTACCTGCATACCTGTGCTGGAGATACTTAATGTAGGTGCTTAAGGACCCTTAGGTCAAACCTGTCCCAGGAACAGGGGCTCCTCAGCCCTGTCCCAGCCACCTTTCCTGAGGACACACAGATGTACCATGTGAGCAGTGGGTGTCCAGCAACCAGCTCACAGCTCAGAGGTTTCCACTTGTGCTTGTTTGAAGACAAAGGTTGGGAAATAGGGCCTTTGGGAATCCAGTTTCACTGAAGAATGGCTAGCTGGCTCCTAATTCTCTTTTCAGAGACCATGTACTTACAAAGAATTATTGGAAAGCTGCTGCTGTCCAAGGGCTGCTCTTAAAAATAAATGATGGGATATTTGATGTCGCAGACTGCTGAGCTTGGCACTGTGTTTGATAGGCATCTTCCAGCCAAGGGCAGAAGAGGGTATAGGGGGACTTTTCTCATCTTTAGGCAGTTTCTTTAAAACAAGGACTCTTTAAATTTTAGAATAAGGCAGAAGAGATGCTTGTTTTTTCTGTTTCATTGTGGAAGAAGAGAAAGGGAGTTAAAGTCTCTGTTTTAATGCTGGAAATTTTGAAGGGATAACATTATCAATATTGTTGGTTTTTTTAAACTTAGAATTGGCAAGAACCTCCCCATGTAGATAAAGTCAACACTTCAGATAAACTGTCCTTGTTAATATTTGGTAGCTTTGTTGTGTCATTTAACTGCAGAAAGCGCCTTCAAACAGATATCTTGAGTTCTTCTAGTTTGACTTCATGACAGTACTTCCACTGAAGCTGATGCCCTTTGTCCAGAGATCCATTTTGTTGTTGGTATTCTGTTTGGAAAGATACCTGCCTATAACTCTTTACTAAGAGGTCCTATAAAAAATGTCAGCAAAAATAGGGAAAGACTGGAGCCTCGAGCCATGCTTGCAGTGAGACCTGTGCCCTCTGAAACCTGCACCCTCTGGAATTTGCACATTCTCAGTTCTTTGTTTCTTGTGCCTTTCTGGAGCCAGCTGCTTTGCAGACTTTTCCTTTGCTTTGCTTTTAGTTTGCTTTGGCTGCTTTCCTCTCCTTTTTATTATTAAATGCATTTTCAAGCATGCTCTAATGTCTGCTGTTAACCCACTTCTCAGCCCAGGGCCGGACTCGACCATCGAGACGAATCTCCTTCTCCTTCAGCATCTCTCCACTCATTCCTAAGTCTAAAACTCTCTTTTCTATTGGCTCTTCTTCCAGTGATGAGGAGGAGGAGTTGGAGAGTAAGTAATCATTCTCTGTGCAATGCAGCCATCATGGGTGGAAACACAGGGAAATCTGGTTTTCTGCTTCAGACACTGGAACTTCACCTCGCAAACATTGAACTACCCTTTCCATTGCATGATGTCTAACAGCATTATCCTGGCTCTGTATCTGAATACTAACTAATAGCAGAATGAAAAGGATTATTATCCAAAGAATCTTCTACATCAGCACCATCACATCTTACTTGGTTAGTTTTAGTCCGTATCCATGTGGCAGATATCATCACCTGCCACACTGAGCAGAAAGTGATTTTTACCTTTTTACTAAAACCAAAATACTGGCCTTGAGCTTGTTGCAGGGCATGGAGTTAGCAAAAGAGGTGCATCCTTGTCCTCCATAGGTGACAGTGAGTGCATTGCTCAGTGAAAGAGAAGTGAACAGAAGCCCTGATTATTAAATTCTGCAAATCTTCACAGCAACTTCACAGTTCCCCCACTAAACACAAATTGCAGTCAAAGACCTTAAGTCTTCAAGGTGTTCATATCTAAGTCCTGATATTGTTATCAAAATAATTCTCTGGGAAACAGGTGAGAGTTCTCTGGCAGCTTTTTTTTTTCTCCTGCAAACTCCATTGCTAAAAGAAGCCCAACTAAGGCAGAAGATTAAATTAAAGTGATTTAGAGTCTTCTTGTTTTTTAAAATGGGCTTAGCAAAGATTATTCAAAATGCTTCCTATTTCTTAAGCATGTTTTATTCGACTGTTGAAATAAAGCAGACACATTCCTTGTGTCCTTACTGGGATGGGGGAAATTGCTTTCCACTCCAATAGATTTTGATTGCTTCCTGAGTTTAAAACAATTTCCACACCATCCACGTTGTACATATCTAAATTCTCCTCCTTTCCAGTCCTGGTTTTCACTGTGGGTTTGTCCTTTCCTTCAGCAAGGTCCTGTGCCCAGGTTTGGTATTACCACTTCAGATTTAAGCTCCTTCCCCATTGCTCTGTCCTTTTCTTCTGCTTTTAACAAAACTCACAGATCATGGTCCCCACAAAATGAACTGCAAAGACACAGCTGTTCACTCATGTGATGCCCCACAGTAAAAAATAGCCTTAGGTAACCTTTCTGGTGGAGTTTATTTGGTGAGTTTTGTTCTTTTAAGCATTTGAGTTATTCTATTATTATTTATTTTTGGTTTATTGTTTTAAGCATGCAATAGCTGATATTCATTTTAGGGTATGACAGTTTTGGAAGATATTTATAGGAGCCAGTATTTATCTTCTCTTCCTCAACAGTGCTCGTGTTAACAATAATAATTTAAGATAATGTCAGATATTGTCTCAAACAATTACATTGTTTTCTTTACATATTTGAGAGTACTGTGGTGACTTTATAAAGGTTGATTTAGCCACAGGTCCTTCTGAGACCGTTTTGGCAATGGGCATTTTTCATGGAGCAATCCCAGACCAGTTTTTTCACAACTTTAGGGTTCATTTCTCATAAGAGGATGAATGTTTGAACACTGAGATTGCAAGTGCATTTCAGTTACCAATCCTCAACCTTTCCATTCCTGCTTTTTCTTCAGAAAATGGAGAATTAGTTGAAGTTTGTCTGGTTATATATTTAAGACATAGATTTCAGATGGCTGGACAATTATTATGAAGCCTTTGGATTTCTTGACCCACAGAAGTTTAATTACTGAGATCATTAAGGCATTGCAAGCTGGTTTCAACATCCTAGTCTAGTCACTGCTTTCTGCAAAATGGATCTTGATTAATTATTTCAAGTCCAGCTACCATATGAATTAATTTTTGTGTATAAATACAGCAAATTTTGGCTGCTAGCCAGGGTCACTGGTCATAGATAGGATTTATGGCTTTTGAAACAAAAACTTTTTTTTTTTTTTGTGGGTTCTGAAGTCAGATTTCAGTTTTGTTCCTGGTCATGACAGGGAGCAAAAACATTTTAAAAGTGAGCTTTCCTTCCCCTGTTCTGCTTCAGAAACAAGCCAGAAGGTGAGAAGATGTGTCTTTTACTATGCCTATCTTCCTGGGGTTTACATCTTGCAGCAGTGTGTTGATCATGTAATGTTATATTATAATCTAAAATATGAACTCATAAATAGACCTTAATTCTTCACTGGATCCATTTTGCCTGCCAGCACCATGAATCCCCCATTTTTAAGATGAAACTGCTATTGAAGTAAAAGATAAATTATACATAATTGTAGTTCTCATGCAGTGTATTTTCTCAAGGTAGCGAAAAACAGTCACAAATACCAAATTATTGCAGCTCTTGGTTCAGTGTTTGTTCACATTTTTGTTGTTAACTGCAAAGAAACAAAAAAAAATCTGAAATACTTAAATCCAGTCAAACAGATTAATCTCGTAAAAAAAAAAAAAGGAAATACCAACGAGGTCTAACCCAGATTAAAAGCAAACCAGAAGTGAAATGGGAACCAGAGTTACTGGAGCTACACCAAGGATTTGGGAGTCTGTAAATTGCTTTTATGATCCTAGTAGGCACTTACCTAAGTGCCTACTTAATAATATAAATCTACCTAGTTTTATATTATAAAAATATCACATATATAATAAATAAATAGAATATAAAAATATAATATTGGAAATTGAATAGTAGGCTTCATTTCATACATGTTACAGTATTACTAACTTTGGTGTATTTGGGATAAATCATTAATGAGGTGAAAGATTTTGCAAGGGAAATATTAACACAGCTCTCCAAGCAGGGTTTAGGTAACAGGGTATGCCTGTATTTTAGTTTCTCAATATGAAGAAATTATATTCCTGTTTGAGACTCTGTTGGCATTTGAATCAGTGGTTAGAAAATCTGTATTTAAAGCCTAGCATTGCATGCTCAGTTTTTTTTCTAATGCTCTTACTGCTTTTGGATAAAGGGCCTCTTTGCCTCTAATGGCAAGTAGCTCTTCTGCATTCACCCTTAGCATTAAGAGAATTTGAGCCAAAATGCTCTTTTTCTTGCAGTATATATGCAGAAGCCTAGCAAGGTGACAGCTGGGCCATTTCTTGAACTACAGATAGGGCTGCAAACATTGCTTATATGAAGGGGTTTTTTGAGTCTTGGCAAGCCCAGTTACTTCAGAAAGAGCCCTCTGTCCTGGATAGTTTCACCCTGATTTTTCAGTGCTCTTCAATGGTGCTGGTAAATGCTGTGAGCTCCCAGATCTGCTCCAAAAGCATTGTGCAAGCAAGTTTCTTGTGTAGAGAGGGTTGGTGCCACTGGCAGGGCTTCAGCTTCGTGTTGAAATTGAGCCTTTCCTCAAGCAGTGTTTCGTGACGAAGCCCCAGGCTGGTAACGTTTTGTGGAAAGCAGAATAAGGCTTCCCTTGTTTCCCTTACTCTTTATGAAGTGCCTCAGGATTTTGATGGGAAAATGAACTACAGTTTTATCAAGGAGAAAAGTTTTATACATGAAACCCGGATGTACTGTACAATAGATCCTTTCTAATGGAGTATAAATAAAAGCATTGTGTCAGAATGATTCTCATTTATACTTATTGCCATTGAATTGGCAGTTCTGATTCAGCCACCCTGATTTACCAGCAAGTTTAACAGTTGCATGGTCTTTACTTAATAGCTGAAGAGTGATAAAAATACTAAACAGGCTTTCACCTCAGCATCTAATTTGAGAGCAGCTAAGGTTACAGGGAACAGACTTTATCCTGAGCACGTGAAATCTGTTCTAAACACCCACTTCTGGAAAACATTTCCCTTTCCTCTTGAACCATCCCAATATGCAAATCATGTTTTTTGGAATCAGTGGGATAAGGATGCAGTCTAACCTGTCCCCCCCTGCCCCTCCCATCTTTTGCAGGTGCGCAGTCGTTTGGCAGCTCCGTGGGCTCCTCAGTGCAGAGGTACAGTATTGCATTGCATTATGCAGTATTGCAGCATCCTGGGACACCCTGCCTCTTCTGGGGGGACTCCTGCAGCAGGCTCTGCCCGGGGCATCCCAAAGCCTTCGTGGCACCAGAAGTTGTGAAAATCAGTCCTGTGCCCCTAAAGGCTGAAGAATGTTTTAGATCACAGGATATGAAAGTCTGAGTCTCATCTCTTAACAAGGCTCTGTTTATTCATAGCTGATAACATCATGTTATGCATTAGAAATGTGTTGATTATGCATTATTGCAGGGTATTGGTTTGCCCTGAATTATATTTTACACTAAAAGTAGTTCTTTCTGCCTGTGGCTAATTCTCTCTATCTCTCTATAACAAAAGCCAAAACAATTGTGTTTTTGTGTGTTATTTTCCATCCTTGCAAGTTGCACAGAGGAGACAATCTTCCTGGCGGCTTTCAAGGTGCTTCCCTGCAGGAAGGGCCTTTGTGGCACTGGGAGTCTGGTCTCTGTGCCACTGACAGCTTTGGCTTTATTTTATGACAGGGAGGCTCTTCACCTCTGCTCTCTGCTGTCTTCTCCTCCTTGATTTAATTAGTGTTTGTGTTCTGCTTTTGGTTTGTGTTGTACTCAGTATTGACAGACTATGTCGATTAATGCAATAATAGTTTCCCTATTCCTTTATCATAGCTGAAAAAGTCATAAGCTTGTGCGTGAAAAGGTTGGCAAAATTATCTGGGATCCTAAAAATTCCTAAATTAATATACGTAACCATTGTGGTTTATTACTTAATATTGGTATTCTCATTTCTCAGGGGAGGCTTTGCAGACAGTGGTTTCTGTTAAAGACATTCACAGCCTTTTCAGAGTTCACAGATGCCTTTCTCTGGAAGGAAATGGTTCTTTACAGTATTAATGGTTCCTGGTTATTTGACAAGGGGAGCAGCAGAGGGTGCTATGGCATGGCCTGCTTCAAAACAGATATGAGAAGTCACTGAAATTTATCTCAAAATGAGTGGATTGACATTTTGTCTTCACTGTTCCTTCTCTGGTAAAACACCATAAATCCCCTAGACAGTACTGGCTAATAAATGCATTTGTCCTTTAAAAAGAATTGATCCATTTAATAGATGCTTTGGGAAGGAGGGGAAAAAAATGCAACTTTTCTCTTTTTTTAATTTATTTTAGCATATCTGAAGAGAGCAGCAGTGTCTCCGCTGGTAAAGGTGTAACAAAAGTCAGCCGCACCTTCAGCTACCTCAGGAATAAAATGTCCAGCAGCAAGAAGAGCAAAGTAAGTGCTTCTTGTGATTTCTGGAATGCCCGTAGGCAGCAGAGAGGAGGTCTGCATTTAGGTCTTTGCTTGACTTCCTTTTAATTACTTTCTTTTACTTCCTTCCTTCCTTTTTGTTTTTTTAAAATGGCAGGAGTGTCTGTGGGGTGATAGGGACTGGCTCCATGGGAAATCTTAGCACCCCAAAACTGAGCCCAAGGACAACTGTATGAGGCTCAATAAGGCCAAGTGCTGGGTCCTTGACAATGCTGGGTGAACAGTTAGACTGGTTAATATTAAATGTCTCTTCCAGCCTTTATGATTCTATTTTTTCACTCATTTTCCCAGAGAGAATAAATTTTGCCCTGGTATGAGTTAGGGCTTTGTAGTGATTAATGAGTCTAATTTCTGCAGAACCTGAAAACCTTTAATGAAACAAGGACAGGAGCTGTAAGAAGGGACTGCCTGCCTAAAGCTGTATTGTCTTTTCATAATTTTTTTACTTTTGCCACAAAGTTTGTTTGCACTGCAGGAGAAGTTGCTCAAACAGTGACTTTTAGTGATGCCTAATATTTATATTTTTCCCCTTTTTCCATCCTTGAAACTGTGGAACTCAATTTGCTGAAACTTAAGCCCTGCTCAACAGCTGAATTTCCTGGGAACGGTATTGAGATCTGGCTGGGACAGAAAATACAACAGCAGTGCTTTTAGACACTTGCTCAGTGCAGTTTGATTTCACTAATTTCATGATTGTGTCTGAAAATGAAAAGAGTTGCTTCCAAATCTGAGCCATAACACGCACTACAAAAATTGCAGCTCATAAAAAGCCAAAATATCATTCAAGCTATAATTTCTTGTCTGCTCATGGCGTAATGTTTGCATTACATACATTTTTAAGGCTCAACCAGTACATTTAAATAATTTGACAAAAAAATTTGTTGGAACACTCATTTCTCAGAAGCATTATAGATGAAAAAAACCTCTAAGAGTTAAAAACAGAACCAACTAAACAACAAACTTTGAAAGGGGAAGTTTGACACAGGAAGTTGGGTTTCTGGGCTATCAGGAGGGAGGGAGGCTTCAGTGTCTTTTCAGCTCATTTTTAGTCGTCTCCAGACCTTCAAAAATGCAGTTTTCTCAGATGAAGTAAAGTAAAATAAAGCACATCTGAGCCTACTAACGGCTCTTTAGGAAAATGTAGAGGGTTATGTAAAAAAAAACCTTAAAAATAAAAGGATGTTAGAGCATTAACTGGAGGGGACACTGATAGAAGTTGGTGTGAATTTACCCCTGCCTGGCACGTACTTGGTGTTATTAGGGATTATCAGTGTATCTCTTGGTGAGTGCCCTGATTAACATTTGTGAGGTCTTAAACATGCTCTGTCTTCGTCAGTTCAGGAAAAAAAACCCTCTTTTTTTTTTCATTTTGGTCAAGACTTTCTGAGAAATTACAACAATTAGCATGAGTAATTTCTCTTTTTCGTTGCCTTGCACAGTAATAATGCAGTGCTGTGCCAGCAGCAGCATTTCAGGGTATATGGTAGGAGTTGCAAGTGTTTGAAAGGATTAGGAGACAGGGAATATATGTGACCTGCAGAGCAGGAGGAGCTCAAACACACAAAACCTCTCTGTCTGGGCAACTTCTGCAGCACTTTGTTTGCTTATGTGCTACATAGCAACAGTATGTGAAAATTCACTTTTTCTGTAGCCCAAACATGACAGAGTGTTTGATTTACTCCCCTCTACCTTTAAAGAAGGGTGGTCTTACACTGACTTGTAAAATATTAATCACATCCTTTCCTGCCTGTACGGGTTTGGATTTTAGCTTTATTTTTTTTAGAAGTGTAAGCTAAGGTAGGGCAAGATGAAAGCAATAGCAAAGTAGCTAAAATCATCTTTAAGGAAGTCAGCAACTGTGCTGCCCCTCCCCTTTTTGCTCAACTCCTCGTTGCTGTGCCTCCTGACCCTGGCCCTGCTGCAGCCTCCGGCACCGCCATGGGCTAGCGAGGAGCAGCTCCTGCTGGGGAGCGGCTCTCCTGGCCCGGGGAAGGATGTCCATAAAATGGAATCGATTCTCAGAAGTACCTCAGATAACAGTGAAGCTGGTGGGACTGAAGCACTGGGAGGTAAGAGCTGCGTGGCTCCCGGCGAGCGGGATCCGCGGTACCGCGGCGCCTGTCGTGGTGGCTGCTCCGGCACGGCGCTTCGGCCACGAAGATGGGCTTCACATCTCACTGGCAGCTCCAACAGCACCAAAGTAGCCTTGTTGCTACAGTCCTCCTTTGAGTAAAGTTACAGTAACTGCCACAGGAAAAAAGAAAAACCTGAAAAAAAAATCTCATTGTGGGAACTTGTCCTTAAGTGGAGTGGCTGGCAGCCCTTGTGTGGAGTTTGCTGTTTCCTTCTTGAAAGTGGTGCACTGATTTCCTGTTTTTCCTGGAGCCGTTCAGCTTTAATTGAAATTAAAATTAGGCTTCGGAATTGCTGGGTTTTACAGTGAACTTCAGGTAGGTTTAAAGCATAGGATGGTAAATCTCCTTTCAGCATGAGAGTCACAAGATCTGGCTTGAGCTTAGAGTGATCTTTTCTCCTGGAGCTTCACAAGGCTTGGCAGTAGAGCAAAACTCCAGGCATCAACTTGGTACCATCAGGCCAGACCTAAACTGTATGGTTTTAGTTCCTGAATCCTGCCAGGCTGGATATGATTAGAGATGGGCAGGTCAGTGGATGGAACATGGGGCTGTGGAGGTTCCTGTGGGGTGGTGTCAGCCAGGCTAATGGTTCAGAGGAGGTGGAGATGTGATGCAATGCAGACTCTTTCTGGCAGCTTTTCTGCTTCAGACAGGATTATTCCATATGGTAATACTCCTAGTTTTGCTTATTTGCAGAACAAAACAGCATTTGGGGCCAGTAAATAGACTTTCTGTTTGACACTTTGCAGGGAGAGACTCCGGCACTGGCATTTTGCCTGGGATTTGTTGGGAGAGGAGTCCTTAGGCTGAGTTCCTCCTGATGTGAGTGTGTCATCCAGGGCTCAAGAGTTTCCCTGCAGTGGCTGCAGAGCTCCATCCCTCTTTAAGCCACTTCATGGCAGTTGCTCACATGGGCAGCTCTGCAGCTCCCTGATATTCAGGCTAAGACAATATTAAGCAAAGGGCATGTGGCATATAAATAACAAAATGCAAAGATAAACTGACAGTTTTACCGGTTTCTGGAAAGCTTCTGTTTCAGATGCCAGGAAATCTGCAGCAACAGTTAAAAGCACAGACCTGGAGCTGACTAGTATCATAAACATTTTGTAGGTTGGTACGTGGAAAGATGAGGAGTTGCAATTCAGATTCAGAGCTTTTCTGTGGAGTTTCCTTTAAAATTTGTTTGGAAGAATTCCAAATCCATGAAAGACTGCAGGGAAAAATATTTTAGATTTTTAGTATTTTCTATCTAAGGTAGAGATAGAAAGGAAGCAAAAACTCTTTGCTAAAAGTTGGAGAAGCTGTCTGTGCTTGTCATCCTTCCAAAGCTGAGTAGCCTAGAGGTCGAGTCATGGCTTGTGGCAGATGAGAGGGTCTTTTATGGTGTTGCTGTTGTTCCCCAGCCTTTCTTTGGTGCCATAGGTCAAAAGTTTGTAAAAGATCCATTTTGCCAAAAAGCTTCACATAGTTACTTGGAGTTGCATATAACTGTTGAAAAAATTGCTAGTTGGAAGAAAAACAGAGGTGGAAATATTTTGGCAGTAAGGCTATAGAGGCACTGAGGAAGAGCTTGTGTTCTCCATTAGAAATGCAGTTGAAAATCACGAGCCTTATGGTTTGGCCTTAAAAATGAGCTGTGTTGAAAGTCTGATCCACACTGCATGTGGTATTTGTATTTAACATTAAATTAACATTATTTAAAGTGCTGAAGAGGCTGATGAGAGCCCAGAAACAGAAAAGAGGTAAAGTCATTAAGCCAAGCAAGCATAAAACAAAGGCAGAAGGAAATAAGTGCTTTCAGAACAGACTCGGTGTCATCTGCAGTGGTGAGACACCTGTGTGAGTCAATAGTATGTAAATGCACTTCCACAGGGGTTTTTTTGAGGGAGAGCTGTGCAGACACATGGCCATTGTTCAGGTGCACCTCGGTCGATCCCCTCGCCGTGCCAAAGGCAAACACTGAGCAATCTGTAACCGGGGAAGAGCCCACTGACGAGGCTTTCGGTCATTTTGTCTCGGCAGGAAAAAGAGAAAGATAAAGAGAAGACTAAAGAGAAGGACAAAGATTCCAAGGAGAAGGAAAAAGATAAGAAGCTGTTAAATGGACATCTCTTCACTGCAACCTCCGTTGTAGCCCAAGCAACCTGTTACCACTGTATGAAGCCTTTCAATAAGGATTCGTACTACTGTGCAAGTAAGTCGGGGGGGTTGCCCCCCTTCCTTTTATTTTTCATTGAATCTGGCATGGAAAATACAAACCTTACACTTTATTTTCCTTTTGTGCACAGTTTCCCCGCACCTTTTGTTTGAGGATGTGAGGTGGGAGGGAGACTTTGGAGATAGTGATTCATGGAGCAGTGCATTGCCTTGTGGAATTTGGACTGACATGAGTCGTGGCTACATGGAGGTGTCCTGAAACCTCTTTCCTAAGCCTGAGCTCAGCCATCACAGCAGGCCATGGGGTTTTCTACACCTTGTTGGGCTCTATCAGTGTGGAGAACATTGGTTATTTCAGCTGCATATAGTGGCTTGGAGCTTAGGTGCTTTGATAAGATGGACAAAGGACCAGGGACAGCTGGCTTGGATCATGGCTTCTATTTCCAGTGGTGGGGAAAAAAGTCCCACCCATCTGTGGTGTGTTGCTTTAGTTCTCTGAAATGCTGCTTTGGTGAGCCACAGTGGGAACCACATGGTACAGAAAGGAAATGCTGACCCTCTGCTCCCTTAGAACAAGAAATTGCATCACAGGTCAAATGACAGCTACCTGTGTGCATGTGAAGGACGTGCAGCACAGAACAGGCAGGGTAGGAACTTCACTGAGGGTTTCTGAGTGACTGGGCAGTTTGTTCTCATTTCTTATCAGATGGTTTCTTCTGCCTGTAGCTCGATAAGGTCCGTGGTGTTTGTGTGGTTGAGACCAGAATGCTGCTTGGTTCATGCAGCAACCCAAAGCTATAGAATATGCAGACAAATCCCATTTTTTTCCCACTATAGCTCAGTGGAAAAGGCTTTCCTCTCCTCACTATTATTAATTTTTTACTCCACTAGCTTAGAAGTGAGTCAAAGTGACTGCGGGAACTGCTCCCAGGCTGGAGCCTTCTGTTCCTGCTGGTGGATGTGAGCAGGGGGAGGACAGCCAGCTGAATCCCAAATGGCATTTCTGAATTTCCTGGAAGAGATTTCAGCAGAGTTGTTTGTCTGAGACACACTCTGTGTCAGCCTGATGGGAAATGTAAAACACCAACAATTACAAACTCTCAAATGCATCCTCTCCCTTTCCCCACTTGACTTTCTTAAGAGCTTCTGAAGCTAGGCAGAAAATCAAATATATCCCAGTTTGATGCTCTATATACTAATAAGTTAAAATAACCCAACAGTGTCATATATTTAGCACAGATGTTCTTTCCTTCTTTTCAAGGTATGATGCAAAATTGTTTTCTGCATTGGCCAGAAAAAGAATGTCATAAAAAAATGTTTGGTGAAGGCATCCATTGAAAGCTCACATCAGTGAGTGGTTCCTTCTCCCACTGCATCTTACAATCAACCTCAGATGCTTTGGAAGTGATGGATAAGCAGCAGCAGAGGTTCTGATATTCCTGTGATGATGTAGGCTGGTGCTACCACCACTGCTCTGTCTCACCTGTGGATGATTTTTAATGCCTTTTAGAGCACTGGATATTTTATATTAATGTCTCAGCTTTTCAGTGGTGCCCCCCCCAGCTTCCTGAAACATCTGCTCAATGCTGAAAGATTGTGCATGTTCTGAAACAAATGGGCAAGCAAAAAAGCCTAATTTTTGGTAGCTTTCTGCCTTGTCTTTTTTACTTTTTTATGATCAGTGATGCAGAAAATAAGGTTTTGGGGGTTTAGTTATTAATACTAGTGACACAGAGGAGTTAGAGGAACTTCTTTCTTGCTGAAGAGTTGAATTGGAGGAATAAAGTCCCTACAACCAGATTTTTTAACATAAAACATCCAATCTTTCTGCCAAATGGTACACACTAAAGAGCTGTCTTAAGGCTTTCAAGGCTTGTGTGTGATTTTCATGATTCTGAATTGTCTGAGTGCCTCTGTTCACGCACCAGAGGAGCAGGTTCTGTTCCTCTTTCTTGTTAGGTCTGAAAACTTAGAGTGCTTCTGGGTTTTTGCAAGAGTTTTCAGGTTGCTTTGTTCTGTCTTCTCTTGCACAGGAAATTGTGAGACATTGTCAGAATAGCAGCACCCTATGACCTTACCCCAATCTCTGTCAAAATAGCAGAATTATTGAGGCCTAAATGTAAGAGATTCTAGAACTGTGAGCATATTTTGTCATTCTGGACATAGAATTTTTTTCTTTTTTTTTTTTCTGCTTCAAGAAATAATTCAGAACTTTACACGTACTGTTTAACATACATGTAAAATATAGTTCATTATCTGTGTTGGTGTTGTCATGAATAAGAGGAAATACTTTTCTGTAAACTACTGAATCTTATCTTGAGCTGTGATCTTTCATCTGCCAAAAGTGTTAAAGCCTGAAACCCAGTTTTCAATTCCTACAGAATGAAAAAAAAAAGGCAGTTTTAATCATCTTTGAAAACTTTGTTGAAAACTTTGATTCCCAGAAATCTGCTGGCAAAAGTCATGGGTAGATTCAGGGTATTAAAAAAAAAAACCACCAAGCCACCCAGCTTTTGCTCTGGCATATATGCAGCAACGTTTAAACATGATGGTCTTTGCATTGGTGAATGTGATGCTTTTGGACCAAAACTTCAGTTTCCAGCAGGAAGTCCCAACCTCAAGGATTCCTGAATAATGCTGCTCCTCTTACCTTTTCTGGTAGCCCTGCAGTACAGCAGCACTTGGCTCTGTGCTCTAGATCTTATCCATGATGTTTGAATTTGTGTAAATTAATTTCCCTGTCCTCTTCCTGTCTTTTATATCTCATAGTCTTTGTCTTGATGAGAGCACTATTTGTCTTTTCAGAGAAATACTGGCCCTACAATTGGTTTCTGTTTCTGTCTCCTTCTTTTGCTTTCCACCTTAGTTTCAGAGGGATAATGCCATCAGGGGTTTTTTTTCCTTTTTATTTCTTTTATCTAAGGCCCCTGGTAATTCAACCTTGCATTGATTTTTAAACAGAATTTCCTGTTATATTCTCTGAGGAAATGTTATTAACAAAGGGCTAATTATCCTGGAAAGCAGCCTCTCTCAGTATTTGTTGCTAGTTGTGTAAACCACAACAATGCCTGAAAGTTACAATTCTCAGTTGTGTAAATTAACAGCTCAGATTGCAAACAGCAAAAATTTACCTGTTTTCTGTGGTTTTTTTTTTTAATTTGTTGGTTTTGGTTTGGTTTTTTTTGACAGACTGTAATGCAATTGTTCACAAAGGCTGTAAGGAGAATTTTGCTTCTTGTGCAAAGGTCAAAATGAAGGTAAGGGATTTAATCTACTTTACTGAATAAATATATATAAAACACTTTCTACCACATGTCACAAAGTTTCCAGTTTGTTGTGAAGAACTTCAGCCCCAGTGCTGAAGCTTCCACATAATGAAAACTGTTAAATATACTGTTTATATGAGGAACACAGAGATTTCATGCATACTCCAAATGCAAGGAACCTGCTTCTCCAAGCTAAATAATGTTTGAGCAATTACAATTTCAGTATTTTGAGCAATTACGATTTCAGTATTGTCATCACTTTCACATTTTCATATTTGCTGCACATTTCTCCATCTGTTATTTTGCCCACTTCGTTCAGAGAAAATTAAAAATATATTTAAAAGTACACAAACACTGAGAGGCTTCAGGAAAAAAAAATGAGCTTTTTTTTTGTTTAGTTATATGGCACAACGTTCTGGGAGAAGGGAGGGAGAAATTAAAGTGAATGTCATTTTTCTTTCAGCCACAGAGAGGGATGCTGCAGGCACATGATACCTCTTCGTTACCCACAGTAACCATGAGAAACAAAAGTAAGACAATTTCTTTCCCTCTGCTTTGGGAGTGCTCTGTGTCTGCTGTTCTTAATTGTTCTGACAACTGATACTTGATATTATGAAAAAATAAGCTTTTAACAAAGCAGGGATGAGAGCATCCTCAGTGCATGCTAAGCAATATTTTAGACTTCAGAAATTGTACAGAGTTCATCCCCTTCTGCAGTGTCTGTGTAGCTCTAAAGAAATGTAAAATCATCTCAGATTTAGAAAAATCACTTGCCTGTTGTAGCTTGCAGAATACCTATACCTGTTAAGGCCACAGAATCTGGAAGATGCAGCCTATGTCCATGGGTGTCTGATATGGGAAGGAGTACAACTATGAGAATTAAGTAGAGAGGATTCAAAACACAATTATTTTTGTTTTAATTAAAAAGTCTTGGACTTTGAGGTAGGCAAAGTAGAAAGTTTAATTTTGAGTAGGAGGAATACTGACAAAATGTTCCTGACTTTGCTGAGATACACACTGTACTGCAGAGTGAGTGACCCAGTGTGACCAGGGATGAAGAATAGGTGTGAAATACCCCAGATTGGTTTTGTAGGTCCATGATTTAATAAGCTTAAGTGATAAGCTTTGATAAGATAAAAGATAGCTTGTATGGAACCACAGTATATAATATAGTTGTAATCACTGTGATATTTATAATGAAGTTCAGAGGTGATGCTCCAGAGAGCAGAAATGCATTCTGAAGAAGGAAAAATCTGGAATTAATATGAACAGATTATGTAAAGGTATGTGATGGTATAATGAAATCAGGATTGTCATTTCTCTGTGGTACCTACTGATAAGGGAAACTTATCTTGAAGAGTTTGACCAGAAACAGGATTTATATGACTATTAGCCCAGGGAAATACAAAGGCAACAGGGTGGATTGTGACATGTGATTAATTATCAAAACAGTTACATACAGTTTCTTATGTGTGTTTCTGGAGTTGCAGATCCCACCTGGGTATTTCAAGCATAGTGCAGTGATTTCTGCGGCTGTTCATAACTGCTGACATCCCCTGGGGATGATTCTAGAAAGAAACGGCAGTGGATTTCAGAGTCTGGATCCTTTTAAGTCCTCACCATGCCAGTTCCAGTGGTTAAGGTGTTTGCAGGGGCTGACTGTTCTCCCACCCTTGCGTTGCAGGCTCGCAGCCGAAGGAGCGCCCGCGCTCCGCCATCCTCACTCCCGACGAGAGCACCGTCACCTCCACCTTCAACAACAGGAGATCACAGCAGCCCACTGCACTCTCCAAAAGTGTCTCCATACAGAACATTGCAGGGTAAGGCTCCTCCCTGCACACCTGACTCTGTGTGCATGTGTTATCCTATGCTGCTGACATAAAGACGTAATTTCAGTCTCACTAAAAATAAGTTCACGTGCTGTGACTTGCGATAAAGGTACAGAAGGGATCACTAACAGAGAAATAGCCATGTTCTATATGATACCATCAGCTGTCTTCTCCACAATCCTGTGTGAGTTACTTTAGTCATGGCAGGAGTGCAGAGGCACAGTTGAGTTGGCCTGGTAGATTCAAGACCACTTCCCCGCGATGCTCTGGGCTCTTAGGAAGAAATTCACTTCCTTGGGCTTGATACTGTGCAAGCACGTATTTGCAGCTCAGGTATAGTGTTAACTTTTGTATCCACAACAAGAGGGTGAAGGCACAGAGCTGCAGTCTTCCTGTTTTTAGACTGCATTATACATAATTCATTACAAAAAAAAAATAGAAGAAAATTTAATTTATGGTTCCTACTGTACTTGCATATCGAGCAGTTCTACATGTGAGGCAGTCACAGGGACTGGCTTATTCTGGGCAGTTTGGATGTCCTGGGTATCCTAAATTTCCATGGGGAATTTAACTTCAGTCCATTTTCTGATCTTTCCCAGAGTTAGTGATAAGGACTGTGTAGCCTAATGGTGTGGCACTTTTTCACACTGTTTGCTCCAAGGGCAAGGAGGATGGGACGTGACTGGAATGGAGTTGTCCAAACTATAAAACCTCAGGAGTGGTTCTTTATGGAAAGCACCGTCACTCACAACTATAGTGCTTACAGCTTCTCAAGCTCCAGTAGGTAGTTAGTAAACAACTCATAAAAGCACATTTCTGTACATAATTGTGCAGTGCTGGCTTTGTTTTTCAATTCATATTTAAAATGCATTTATTCTGCTTATCTGAAAGTACATTTGGCTATTTTTTTTTCATAAACAATATTCTGTGTTCTGTTTTTCTGCAGAGTTGGGAACGATGACAGCTTAATACACACTTGGAAATTCCTGTCGCAGTCAACAGACTCTTTACATAAAATCAGCCGGGTTAATGAATCCATGGAGTCACTGGTTGATGAAGGTAAGAGATCTCCATGGCATTTATAGAAGGGAGGTCTCAGTGCTGCTTTCCAGAAATAGAAAATCCATTTTCAGCAATTGTCTTATTTTATAATGGACAATTAAAGTGCCTTTATTTTAATCTCAGAATATTAGTATGATAAACTAAAACAAAGCCCCACATAGTAATTTCTTTAGCTCATTGAATTGTGGAAAAACATTTAGAAGGTTTCAGTTACAGTTGAGTTACTTGGAATTTAGCTCAGGGACAAACATTTCCTCTTCTGTTGTGGTTTTTTATTTAACTGCAATGTCGTTTCATGGCAGATTAGGAATACATTATCTGAGCTACAGTTTGGTCCATGTGAAAATGGTGAACAGGAAACTAGGAAATAGCCTTTAGAATTGTTTTTCATAACTAGTCTTTATGTGGTATGTGATCATTTGTGTCAGTAAAGGAGAATGTGTGTGGTGTTTGTGGTGTGACTGAAAAAGCCTAAACCAAAATAATTAGGCAGCAATCTCAAATGGGACAAGTTACCCACATCTTAATGGCACTTACATTGGTTTGTGAAGGTGCAGACATGAATGAAGGACAGCTCATGGGAGACCTGGAATTAGATTCCAAGCAGCTGGAGGCAGAGTCCTGGAGCCAAGTAGTGGACAGCAAGTTCCTACAGCAGCAGTACAAAGATGTTGTCAAACGGCAAGATGTGATTTACGGTGAGACATCTTCACTTTTCACTCACTGTAAACAGCTCCTTGATAGAAACACTGCTTTGGTTTCCTCAAAAGCCAAACTTTCATTCTTGAAGTTCCTAGAAACATAATGTATTCTGTGGAAGCTGTCTTTCTGCATTTCACACATCCAGAAGCCAACAAAAACCCCAGAAATTGCCTCTCCTCATTTGTCTGCTGATGACTTTCAGATTGGTTTCCACCACAAGCAGCTAACTTTAAAGTCTTTTCCTGAGGGATTCAGGAGCCATCTTGTATGGCAGAAGGGAGGTGTGTGGAGGCTGGCAGTGAGGTGTTAGGAAGGAGAAGATACCAGGCTGATGGCTGAGACCCCAGCAGCAACATCCAAAGCTCTCTGTTGTAGGACACCTCTTCCCCCCTGTATCTCTCACACATGAAACTCTGGACTGATGTTACAATTCCTGACATAGAATTTTTTTGAAACCACTTAGAGAAGCCCAGTTATGGCAAAGCTTTCTAATGGCAGCTTTTCCTTGTGCTGTAACCCACGAACTCTTGTCCTCATCTTGTGCAGAGCTAATGCAGACGGAAATGCACCACGTCCGTACGCTGAAGATCATGAACGATGTGTACAGTGCAGCCATGTTAAAGGAGCTGCAGTTCGATCAGCAAGCCGTGGACAAGCTCTTTCCCTGTCTGGAAAACTTGCTGCACATCCACAGTCAGTTTTTCCAGCGGATTCTGGAAAGGAAGAAGGAGTCACTGGCAGACAAAAGTGAAAAGAACTTTGTTATCAGGAGGATAGGTGACATCCTAGTGAATCAAGTAAGTGCTGGAAAATGTTTTCAGTTCTGAGAACACAGCTGGAAGCCAGATGCTTTTCCTTCCCTCCTGTTTGTGCCTGTCAGATAAGCACGGTTGATGGCAAACTTACTCTTCACACATACAAATCTCCGCCCCTGCTTTTTGAAGCACTTTTTGCTCTTTCAGAGGAAGGTCCACTGTTGAAAATTAATTTAGTTCATTTTGTGGGAAAGAGAAGCGTTCACTGACAGGCACAAAACAGTTTGACCGCAGACTGGAGGGTAGGCAGGAGCTCACAGCAAAATATGCCCAGTGTGTCCCTTGGCTGCTTTACTAACCTGGTGTTTAACTTGGGGTGGGTCATTTTACTTTTCTTTATCCACAGTTTCTGTCTTCTTTTTGTCTGTCTTGACTCTTTTTGTGGTTGGCTTTTAAGCCATGTGATTGGAGTTGCAAATTCTTCTGTATGTGTGAGCTCAGTGAAGTCTCCAAAGCAGCTCTTTACTCTCTAGAGATCTGCTTGCATGGTTGAGCATGCTTTGGACTAATTTGATTTCATCAAGTTCTTCTCAGCACCTGGCAGGCACTGCTGGGATGTCACCCCAGGAGTTTAGTGCAGGTTGGAGCTGTGTGTCCCATTCTTTGCAGTTCTCCGGGGAGAACGCTGAGCGAATGAAGAAAACGTACGGCAAATTCTGCGGGCATCACAATGAGGCTGTCAATTACTTCAAAGAGCTTTACTCAAAGGACAAGCGCTTTCAGGCATTTGTCAAGGTAGGACCTGGCAGAACAGATGTAGCCAATGGAAAAAATGTGTCCTTTCTGCACTCTGGGGGAGTGTTTTGCTGCAGAACTGAAATTCTCATCTTTGTTCCTTAGAAAAAAATGAGCAGCTCCCTGGTGAGGCGTCTTGGGATTCCGGAATGTATCTTGTTGGTAACACAGAGAATCACAAAGTACCCAGTCCTTTTACAAAGGATACTGCAATACACCAAAGGTAGGGACCAGTTCCTGTATTCTAAGCACATATTTGTTTGTCCAGTGTGAAGTTTTGATCCTTTGCAGCTGAAGCAGATTTTCTTACCAGCTAATCTAGTCATTGTTGTCTCACATCACTGCAACGAGATAACTCAATTCCATACTTCCATTTAGGATTAGTTGCTTAGGCACCTTGATTTAGTTATTAGAAGTCTGTCTGTGGTTAATTGTGGAGCAACATGACTAGACTCCAATGTCTCCCCAGATTGGTTTTTTTTTTTTGGTATTGGTTAAAATATGTAGTTAATTTGTGCATTTCATCTCTACTGTCTTATATGCAAAGTGTATTGGAATATTCTCCAGCCTCAGCCACATATATGTAAAAGGTTTAGTGAAATTCTCTTTAAGGGGGAAAAATGTCTCATTTAAGTATTAAAAGTTACAATGTGGGAACTTGGGAGAAGAGGAAGGAAGGAAGTAAAAGTGGGAAGTTAGACTGCACAAAGTCAAATTGAGATGTTTCTGTTTCTTTTTTAAAGAAAATGAAGTGGAACATGAAGACTTGACTCAGTCATTAAACCTTGTTAAAGATGTGATTGCTGCAGTCAATAGCAAAGTCAGCAAGTATGAAAAGAAAATGCGTCTTGAGGAGATTTACAACCGGACGGACAACAAGTCCATCATGAGGATGAAGAGTGGCCAGATGTTTGCAAGAGAGGACTTGATGCATCGGAAGCTCATCCGAGATGGGCCTGTTTCACTAAAGAACTCAGCTGGCCGGTTAAAAGGTAAGACTGTCCTGCCTTCTGCTGTGGAAGGATGCAGCTCACCTTCTCCAGTGTAGGATTAGTCCTCAGATTGGTGCCTCCACCCTTGATTTATTCTTCTGCTTTGATAGAGTGTGACACCAGCTTTTTCCTGCTGTACCCCCATTCCCTATTGCATTTCCAATTCTTTGTGTGGGTTCTGGGGTGATGGAGAGCTGCTTTTCCTCCTGGTGACTGCGTGCCTGCTGAGGGCTCGGGTGGCAGTGACACCTCAGTGTGTCAGCCAAGGAGCAGAGTTGCTGTGGGATGTCACAACTGGGGCTGCAGTTGCCCAGAGCATGAAGTCAGATCTCTATGTCTGTGCCACAGTTCCAGGAGTTGTGCTAAATCTAGAACCCAGCCTCACTTTTCCCTGCCTTTCCTTCCCTCCAAGGGCTGTGGCAGGTCTGCAGCAGTACCATCCCAGGTGCACTGGGATGCAGGGAGATGTCCCAGGTATTTGCTGCTCTTGAACCTCTTAAGCTGTTGGTACAAACTGTTCAGGAGAGACGCTGGTGTCCCTGCAGCTGCCTCTTGTTGGGTCAGTGTTTTCTTGAGTTGCTTTTTGTTTGTTATCAGGTGTGACGTTCTCCAGTGAGTTAAACGCTAAATCTCCCAAGGAAACTTTCAGCTGGGACCACAGTAGCAGTAAGAGCACACAGGGCTGTGCCTCAGGCGTGGCAGGAAGGCTGGGCTTCCCTTCCTCCCTGCAGCATTAGCTGATTAAATTATGGTCTGTGGGCATGAATGGGGCCTGGGAGCCTGGTGCCGTGCTGTGCAGGGAGGTGGTGATAACACGGAATTCCGCATGGGGTATGATTTATTTTGAGGTTTTGGAAGCAGGAAGTTTACACATGATTTCTAGGCACCCGAGACTGCTACTGCCTTTAGATGGTGGATGAAGCAAGTTCTGCTGCTGTTGTGAAATCGTGATAAGCACAGGCTCCATTTGCATTTCTTAGTCATAGAAATGCACAAACCTGTCTGTAGTGCAGACTCACAGGGAGAGTAGGTGCTGCAGGCAGGCTGCAGACCCAGGGAGAAAGTGGATCGTTCATATATTCAGGTTATTTTGTGGTATTTGAAATGGAGCACTGAAAATTAGAGGAAGAACTTCTGTTCAAGGGTTTTAGCATTTCCTCTCTTACAAAGTGTATGGAACAGAGAAAAAGGCAGTCAAATGCCACCTTCTGCAAACCTCCCAGAGCCTGGATTTCATTTTGCAGCTTTGCTTAAAGTTTAGTGGTTCTTTTATCTGGAATGGATTCTGTCTTCCCAAAACAGACTGGAAGGATTTACCCATGGGATGATTTAAATTTCTGGTTTGCTTCCTTTCTGTCACAAGATTTCCCAAGTACATTACACAAAACCTCTTTGTACTGAGGGGTCTGGGTGGGGCATTACACTTGGTAGTTGCTGTGCAACTTTATGATATGTTATTAGGAGACTTGGAAAGCTCTATATGTACTCTGGGAAAAGACTGATTTAAAATCCTCTGTTGGCTTGAGGTTGTGTTTCCTTCTCCCGTGAAAGAAAGCCAGGTCCTGTGTCTCACGCAGGCTCCCCTCAGAGTTGTGTTTGTCTGAGAGCAGAATTACTGGTGGCTCCTGAAGTCAGTATTTCCTGGGAAAGAAACTGCAGCTGACAAATGTTGTTATTGCACGATAATTTACACCCTGCAAACCACTCATCAAGAGAACCATAAAATCCAAAACTTCCTGTGCAGATATTTTGCTTGAGGGCTGAAATATTGATTGTTTGAGAAAACAGAGCTTCTATTGAATAAATGTCTGGCTTTCACTGTTATGCCCATGTCTTAACTGGTAGTGAGCATGTGGCTGGAGAGGAGCACTCCTGCTCTGATGGGTGAGAGCAAATCCTGCAGGATGCCCAGGTGATGATGTGACCTGCTTAATGCAAAGCTGGTTCAGAGCTAACCTGATCTGGCATTCCCAGGAACTGCCCTTTCTCCTCCTGCCAACTGGGAGGTTGATCTTGCTTTCAGGGTTTGCAAAACCAGCCCTGCTGCTCCCCAGCACTGGTGTTATTGCAAGGAATCTGTTCTGGGGTGGGTTGTGTGGTTATACTGCACTGGTGTGCTTCTTCTTTTGCAGAAGTCCAGGCTGTTCTCCTCTCTGACATGCTCGTGTTCCTTCAGGAGAAGGACCAGAAGTATGTCTTTGCTTCACTGGTAAGGCTTCAACCCTTTTTCCTCCTTACTTTTCTATGTGAGAGACTTGTGATATTGTGTTGTGCAGCAAAGCCAGCAATTGCCTGCTAAACAACTTAATTTTCTTGCTCAGAACATTTTTGTTTGCTGAGCAGCCTCCATTCTTTTTGATGGGAAAACATGTCTTCATGCCCCACCTCCCCTTCCTGCAGTGCCTTGGCACAGCTGATAATTTGCCTTGAAAACCTGCCTGTCACTGGAAGCACTTGTGCTTTGCAGTTTGTGCACACTGGAGCAGTGACTGGGCTGGGAGGGGATGAAGGGATAATGCAAACGTTGTAAAAATGAACCTCAGCAGAAGGAAGTGTCCAAATACATTGTGAGATGCTGCAGGGGGCAGTGAGGTGAAATGCCAGGGCAGTAAATCCAACAGAACAGCTTGAAAATAAATGTCAGAGAAATATATTTGTAATGTGCAGGAGCAAAAACATTAGGTTTGAGGGCAGGTCCCCAAAAGGGCTGGGCACATTGACCTGCTAATGAAAACCTGGTGCCTAATGGAGTTTGCTGGGCTGTACCTTCCAGGCATGGTCTAGACTGGCTAAACCTAGTGACCTTTCCACTCTTTGAGCATTTTGAAAGCTGATAATTTGTTATTCCAGCTCCACCGACCCTCTGCACAGGCTCAGTGCCCTGCACAGGGGAAGCTGATTTGCATACAAGTCCTGCTAATGAACCAGATCACCCCAGCTGTAGCATGTGGTGCAATGCACAAAGGGGCTGTGCAGATGACACAGCAGCCTGGGGACATTTTAACCCAGCAGGCTGATGACACAGAGACCATAGCACACAGTGAACATCACCTCACACATGAGTTCTCACGTAGCAGTCAGCTGTGAGCGTCCAAGAACAGCAGAGGTTTTGTGGGATTTGAAAACAAGACTTTATACTGGAGAGAGATGGGGAAGATACTGTGTGTGAAGCAGGATAGCAAGCTGTACCAAGTGTAAGGAGCTGTGATATTAATGACAGGGAGAGTGTGGTCAGTAGGAAATGAGATCAGAGCAAAATATGGTACAGTTTACAAAACCACTGAGTTAAATTGAAATTAATTTTTTCTTGAAATGAAGTGAGGTAAAATTGCTTTTCCTGCATAAAATTGCTTTTCCTCCTGTTGGAGGAAAGCAAACCCATCCCTTTTGTTTGACCCCACTGAAATGATCTTGTTTTTTTAATTAGCCAGTATGTTCAGAAAATGTTTACAGACCTGAGAGATGTAGCACTATGGTTTATTGAGACCTTTTCAATGCTAGTTTGAATCTAGGAGCTAGCTCTGGTCACCCTCCTCACCCATTTCTTTCCATCTGAAGGACCAGAAATCCACTGTGATCTCTCTGAAGAAGTTGATCGTACGAGAAGTGGCTCATGAAGAGAAGGGTTTGTTCCTGATCAGCATGGGTGGAAAGGATCCTGAGATGGTGGAAGTCCATGCCAGCTCCAAAGAAGAGCGCAATGGCTGGATACAGATCATTCAGGACACAATGCACACCATGTAAGACACTCAGCTGTTCTTGTGAGGCAGGGGGTGCACTGGGTGTGTTCCTGTAGTAATTGAGCCATGTCTCCTGTCCAGGGATAGAGATGAAGATGAAGGAGTCCCTTGTGAGTCTGAGTTTGAAAAGAAATTGTCCGATGCAAAAGTGAGAGGACTGAAAGGTAAAACTCCTGGAGCAGAGCTGAGGAGCCACTGTGGAAAAATATACAGGAAGTTTTGGGTTGGGTTTTGTGGTGAAACTGTGACTTTTTTCAATACTGCATCCAGCAAATAACTGCAGTCCTGGTTTGCAGATTGCCTTCCATGCATTATTTATTTTCCAAGCCTGCTGTGCCAGATTGCCCAGAGCACTGTCGTGCTGCCAAGCCCAGCACATATTGTCATGCTCCACTAGATGGGGCCAATATCTCAGAAATCGCTCAGGTCTCCTTGCCAGAGCTTTTATTTTGTCTTTATCCCTGTTTTCTGTTCACCCCCACAGAACAACTTCAGCAGAAGGATAAACAGATCCTGCTCTTGCTGGAGGAGAAGACGAAGATCTTTCAGGACATGGCAGACAGTTCTGTGCAGGAGGAGGTGCCAGACTCCAGGCTGCTCTTCAGAGCCAGCACAGAAGAGGCTCCAAAAGGAGAGACAATCATGAAAACGGCAATAGATGAAGGTGAGCCAGTCATGTGACATGTAAATTATAGTAGCCAACTATAATTGCTTACCTTCAGTGAAGGCATCAGTTCTCAAGCACTAGTTTTGGAGGGGACATCTTCTCTTTGTCAGAATAACAAGGAGAAACTGTTCCTCATGGGACAGATAATGAGAATCAGGAAAGGAAGCAGATACTGGGGGAGTGTTGAAAGAGGGCAGGAAAGTCAGCACAAAGAAAACCATGCATTGAACCTGCTTTGGGGTCAGGAGCAGCATGGGATTTATCCTTGGCTGAAATTTAGACCATCCAGGCTTATGCTGTTCTTCAGTCTCAGCAAGATGTGAGGGTGGGGCTTGGGTTCCAGCAGGTGCTTGTGGTGCCTGCAAGGGACAAACAGTTATATTGACAAAGTCAAGGGTAGGTGGAAACTCAGGCTACTTTCCAGTATGATCTTTGAAGAGGCTAAAATTATTAAATGCTGTTGTCAGAGAACATTGAAGTTGCATTGGGATTAAAATAGTTCAGAAACCTGAAGTGGGCTTTAACAAAGACATTGCTGCTTTTTATCAGTTGAACTGCTGCAAGACCTGGTGAGCAGAAGCCTGGGCACTGCCCTAGGACAGCAAGTCAGCAGCACTGCCATGGATCAGGAGGGAGGAGTTGGCCCTATCTCACTCCCTAGAAGGGCAGAAACTTTTGGAGGATTTGACAGTCATCAGATGAACGCCTCCAAGGGTGAGTAGTTCTGTGTGGACATCAGAATTGGCTAATAACACACGTCATCGTATCCTCTTGCTTCAGAAGGACTTCAGCTAGTGGTTTGGGTTTCACAACTCCTCTCCAGCAATAGTTGATAGATTAAATCACAGATTAGGAAAAAAGCCTATGTACAAGTGGATTGATGAAAACCTGTGACTATACAAGGGTTAAACATCTGAACTCTTCACTCCTCTCTGTGCTCTCTCAAAGTAATACTTGCTATTTTACTTACTTTACTTTAAGCCACATGAAAGCATTTGGCTTCTCAATAAATTAGTTTCTTCATGTTATTATTGTAATATCTACAGGTCTGCTCTTTGTTCTTCACTTTTCTTCCCAGCAGGAGCCTGATGCTGTTGCATTTACAAATGGATGTGGATATTGCTGAATCAAACACCTTCTCCCCTGTCTCTGCTCTCTATGCATTTATGTTCCACCTACATCTGCATGTATTATTCCTCCAATTAAGTCTCTCCCAAAGAAATGCGTGACTACTTATTTCAGCTGCATACTTGGCTGCTTCCCAATGCCCTCTTTCTTTGCTCTAGTCATCAGAAACTTCCCTGTCCTCAAATTCCTTTCTCTGTGGTCTTACTCACACTCCCAATACAACCAGTTTTGCTGTGCTAGTGTCTGTCTCAGCACTGGCATCGTTGGACCTCGTCTGACCTCCTGCATTAAAGGAGCAGTGTTAGCTCCAGACGCTCAGACATGAGAACTATGTAGAGGCTCTTCCAGCTCTGCTGGAGAGCTGCAAAGCTCTCCACAGGCCTTGTCATCATGATGACAAATATACTCACACTGGAGGGGTTTGTGGAGGGTTGTGCCTCTCTCTGTTGCATCGATGAATGGGACAACCTCAGGCTGTTGCCCAAATGTAAGTTTTCCGTAGAAATACCCTCTGATTCTAATTCAGTAGTTGTAGGGTCTTGGGAGATTTTGGGAAAAGAATGCAGGGCCTATCTGTTCTGCCCAGGAGGTATGAAACCTGGCATTCTCTCCAGTTCTTCTGTTCACAACCTGTGAAACCTCAGGCAAGGCTTATAACCTGACTCCCCTTCGTTCTCCCCTCCAGCAAAGCAGAAGGGAGGAGTTTCCTCCTGCAGAGAGGTGGAAGGTCCCAGGACGTGGCGCAGGAGAGCAGGTCTGTTAGGAGGACTTGAGGGTCAGTCTCTAATAGCAGAGCCAGCCTTGGGGGTGGGGGGAGGAGAGGGCCTTTACACCAGGTGTGGTGTCCTTCATGCTGCTGCAGACTCAGGTTTATGTAAAGTCTTTAAGAGTGGCAGAAGGAACTGCAGGTGTGGGTTTTCCCCATGGGCTGCATCTCAGCTGGCAAAGGAGTACAATAGTCTTGGCAAGAGCTAGAGGATGGAAGGTCTGTGTGACTTCTTTTGAGCAGAAGGGCAGCACAGGGGGAAGGTCAGAGCCCTCGTGTCCCCCAGGTCAGCCCAGTCCTGCTCAGAAGCACTGATATGAGCCACCCAGGGGGAAGTCAGAAAGAGAAGCCCAGTGTGCCTTTGAAGATCCAGGTATCTGATAGCTAAGGTTAATGATAAATTGTTAGCATAGAATTACACAGGGTGTTGCACAGCAGTATCTGACCCAGATGTAAATTAACTTGCACAAGAGAGGCATTGAAACTATACCTGCAATAATACACCCTGATATGATTCTGTTATCATCCTCCATCTGCTCTTATGCTGCCTCATGTCTTCTCAGCAAGTATTCTGTGGTAGTAGACAGCAATGCAGGGGCTAGACAGGGCACCAGCTGAATTTATCAGCAGGTTCTCTGAAACCAAAGTCAACCCTAATCTAAATTCACATCCACTTTTTCTGGTAGTGCTGATGTGTTCCGTATATTTAGGGCTTGAATTCATTTAGTTAAAATGTCAAGAGCTCTGTGTCCGCTTTTGTGGAACACGTGAGTTTCCTGTATTAAATTCCTCAGACTTTAGCAAGTTCACCTCTGCCTTAAAATGTTGAATAACTGATGCCAGTGCTGGCTTCTTCCCTTAGGTGGAGCGAAAGATGAAGGCGATGATGCTCAGGACCTTCGGAGAACAGAGTCAGACAGCATTTTAAAGAAGGTAAGGTTTGATTTGTGTGTCTGCCACCACTGAATTCAGATTTCAGAAGTGACAGCTCTACCTTAAAAAACTGCCTGAGAATTTCTTGACAATTGGATACATCCTAATAAGTTAAAAATAAAATAAAACATGAAATATGCACGCAAAACCACTCACTTGAAAACCACTGCAAATCAGTTGTACTCCTTAATGGCACAGGTTAGCTACCAAAGCATTTGTTTCATTTTGCATTGTTACTGAAATGCTAAGGTCAGCTACTGCCTTGCACCTTTTCTTTCTGGGGATCGATCCATCACGTAACTGCAAAATAATACCTAATTAACATTTTATTCTATATGATTCTAAATGGCCTAAAAACATGCATGAATTCTCCCAAAATGGAAGATGGAGAGGAGTGTTTAATGGATGTGTCATTAGTTCAGCTTCAGAAGGCATTTGCTATGATTTTTCATTGTCCTCATATTAAATTTGTGATCTTGTCATAGGGTGGAAATGCTAATTTGATGTTCATGCTGAAAAGGAATAACGAGGTAAGAATTGATTCCATTGCTCAGCTGTTCCTTTCACTTAAATGGCTAGAGAATTTGTCTCAATAGGTGATAATATAGAAGAAAACACATTTAATTTGCTGAAGCAGATCTAGACTTTTAAATACATTAAACTGAACCCACTGTGTCATTTATTTGTTTAACCTTGGATGTTTAGACAGAGAACTCACTGACTGTCATCTGCTTCCCAGCAAGATTATATGTGCTGATTATAAGCAGCAAGGGTTAATTACTACCAGGATGCACAGGGCTGTATTTATTGTGCATCTGCAGACAGAGAGAATTTAATTTTATGTTGCAGGTGCAGTGAATTGGGGCAATTAGATTTCTATTCTCCCTTTGATACACATTCATAACTCCCAATTAGCATTAATGACAAAATGAGAAGCAGTTCTCTTAATACTGGCTATCACTTCACTACTGAAAATACTGAAGTGCTCCTTTTTCTTCTTGAAATTAATTGTAGGATATGAGAGATTCAGAGAAATTTTTAGCTAGGCTAAATTTAGGGAGAGGGCATAACTCCAAAGTAGCTTGCTCTGTATTGATGCATGAGGTGTTTGCATTTCTGTATTTTCAGAAAGCCTCCAAGAACACACCTGCTGCACTTGTGTGCCTGCTGTAGTGCAGCTTTTCTGTCTGATGTCAGTGGGTCTTGTATGGGTCAGCTGGGGGAGAAGGGTAAAAATAGTCCACATCTATTTAAAGATTGCTTTTTTTTTTCACCCCTTGAAATTTTTTTCCTGAAATTTTTAAGTGAACTTCTGGGCTTCATCTCAATTATTTAGCTTGTTCTTGAGCAAGCTGATGATGTGAGAAATGGTTTGCAGAGACAAGCCAGGACTTCCCATGAGCTCTGTGCCTGGAGGTGTCTCTGCAGGTGTTCCTTCCCCTGCTGCAGTGACAGCTAGGGAAGGGAGGAAGGTGATGCCAGGCACTTCTGGGAGATGTTTAAGGGTGTACTGGGGAATGATGCAGTCATTGCAAGGGAAGAGTGAGGAAAAGCTGTGTGCAGTGGGATGGCTGTGCATCTTGTCAGACCCACTGGTGGTCACAGAGCAAGAGAGAGTGCTGTCCACGTACCCAGCACCCAGTGAGATCTAACAGCAGCGCTTCTGTTTTCTCGCAGCAGGTCCTCCAAACCATTACCAGCCTCCATAAGCTGCTCAGTGCTTTGCAGGTAGGCTTAGCCCTTCATCCTGCTCCCACACATTGCTTGCCTGAGCTGCCAGTCATGCTTTGCCCCTTGTGTCCCCTCCTCGTGTCACAACCCTGCATGGCTGGACACCCCACAGCCAGCTTGCAGGCTGTGGGATTGATCTGCTGCCTAAGGGAACCAGTGCTGGCCTGAATTTGGGAAGCTGCTTTGCCAGCAGGCTCTGGTAACCAGGCAGCAGTGCTGGGCTGGGCTCAGAAGGGGTTCAGTACAGCACCCCGAGGTTTTCAGGGACAGGCCTCTCCCCACAGAGAGGATGCTGCAGTGGTCTCTGTCTCCTCTGTGCCAGGGCGTGGTGCTGCAGCAGGACACCTACATCGAGGACCAGAAGCTGGCTCTGAGCGAGAGGGCTCTGAGCAGGAGCTTCTCCCGGCCCACCTCGCTGCTGGAGCAGGAGAAGCAGCGCAGCCTGGAGAAGCAGCGCCAGGAGCTGGCCAACCTGAAGAAGCAGCAGACGCAGCACCAGGAGGAGCGGCGGAGGAGGGAGAAGGAGTGGGAGGTGCGGGAGAAGGAGCTGGCAGAGCGCGAGGCCGAGCTGGCGCAGCGCGAGGAGCAGGTGCAGAGGCAGCGGCAGGAGCTGGAGCGCGAGCGCGAGGAGCTGCAGGTGAGGAAGGCGGCCTACCAGCTCGACCTGGAGAGGCTCCGCACGGCGCAGAAGCAGCTGGAGAGGGAGAAGGTGCAGCTGAAGCAGGACGTGGAGAGATTTGCTCAGATGCGGCAGGAGCCTGACCACAACCAGGTAAATGATGCCAACAGCCGGGCTCCTCGGGAAGCTGATCCCTGCAGGGAGCTGCCAGCCAGCTCCTGGGTGAGCTGCATGCCCTCACAGGGCACACAGCTATGCCAGACATGTAGAGTGCCACATGTATTTAAAACTGGCTGTTCCTTCACATATGATGTGCAGAGCTGCAGTTTTTGTACCTCGAGATGCTGAGGCACTGCCAGGCTTGGTGCTTTGTGGTGTACTGGGGGTGCTGGCCAGTGCTGGGCAGCCTGAGCTCTGTCCACTTCCCTGTCTGTGTGCTGGGGGATGGCACAGAGGACTAGACAGGCTCCCAGGAAAGATGCCCAGGCAGTCCCAGGGGGTTGACACTGCCTGATGTTGGCCTTCACCCAAGGGCTGAGCTCTGGGGAGTGGTCAGGCAGAGGGGACATCCTTCTGAGAAACAGCCTGAGTGTTGTGGGTAACCTGCAGCCTCCAGCTGTCACAAAATCAACTTGTGATTCTGATAACAGTGGGGCAAGGCTGTTCGCATGCTGACATCCATCTCCAAAAGCATTCTCAATATCCAGCAAAGAGATGGCATTGCCCCTGTCCTGAAAAAAACCAAGCACCTGCAGTCCAGATGTGGCTCAGTCAGCAAAGGTCCCCAGCTCTGCTGGAAGAGGCTTCTGGTGCCTGCTCACAGCCACAAAGAACACCCACACACAGATCCTGGTTTGGGCATTTTTCAGCAAACTGAGGTTTACTCCTTTATAGCTCTGCAGCAGTCTGACTGAGGAGAGCCAGCACCATTGGCAAAACATGGACTGAATTAATTCCTTAAGGCTGTTGATCATTTGTTTGTTTGTAACTCACTAATTCTGACTCTAATTTGCTTAAAGCTGTAGCAGGGTTAGTTTATAAATGTTGGATTGCAGAATGGGAATTATTTTCGATGCCTGAACGGCCTAATTGTGGAGCTGAGCAGTGAGCTCTGAAAAGCTAATCACCCAAGGAGGTCCTGCTCCCTCCCACCTGGCTCCTGATCAAGCCAGAAGTTTTCCAAGCAGCCAAAGCTGTTCCAGCTCCAAGCACTTGTAGACAAGGGGCATGGATGCTGTGGGAGAAGCTGAGAGGTAAAATGCCTGCAAGGCCTAAGAGATTTAGGAGAAGGAAGCACCTTCTCAAAGCAGGTATCTGACTGACATTGCAGAGCTATTAATAGAGTGTTCAGTCAAGCTTTGTTGGGCTTGTTTTGATCTTCCCTTTGAATGTGCAAGCTCAATTACATCCTGAGACAGCCGTTAGGAAAAATAATATCATGAAAAATGCTTTTGCTTTCATCTTTTGCTTGGGAAGGCTTCCTTTGACACACGGTGCTCCTGTGCCGTGTGCTGGCGTTCCCTTCCCAGAGAGGCACGCTGCTCCTTGGCCTCCTGCCACCATCTGTGTGTGCAAACGATGCAGGGTGAGTCTTGCTATTGAGATCTTAGAGAATATTTGCCCTTGGCTTGTTGATACATAGCAGAGTACATGTAGGAGCAAAAGATAGTGCAGTGTTACTCTTTTTGTGCCTCATATTTTCATCTTGAACAGAGAGCGCTTTTCTCTCCTTACTTTGCCTGGATGGGGGCAACGTTTTACCTGGTGAATGGGTTGGATGTTCAGAAGAACAACCTCTGTGAGTGGGCTGGGACACACCTTTTCTGTCCATGTTCTCTGCTAGCCTCTTTCATGCAACACTTTTCCTTTCTAGGTTTCAAATCTACATGAGAAACTTGCAAGAGTCTCCTCCCAGTCCAGCATTGATGAATCCTCCATGCAGAAGAACCCTTCCCTTCCTAAACAAGGGCACTTTGATGCAGAACTTTCTGTCTCCCCCAAAAGGAACAGTCTTTCAAGGACACACAAAGAGAAAAGCACTTTCCATTTGCTTAGCACAACAAACCAGACTAACAAGGCAGCTGAGGAACAGACCCAGATGCCTACTCGCCTCTTCAGTTTAGCCAAACCAAAGGAGAAGAAGGAAAAGAAGAAAAAGGGCAGGGGACATCGCTCCCAACAGTCTGGTGAGTGTCAGGGGAGCTCACAGGTGTTTTTTTAGGGTTATTAAGCTGGTTGTTTTCCTTCAGCCAGCAAACTTGTGGAAGCCACAAAATCTGGCTTTAAATGAGGATGTTGACACAGTTATGGGGAAGAGCAGCTGTGCTGAGAGGACTTCTCAGCTTGAAGTGATCTTCCATGGGTGTTTCTGCCTGTTCTGAGCCCCTGGGGTTGTCAGAGGGACACACATTCTTCTCATTGTTTCTTCCTTTCCCATCCCATCCTGAGCAGCCTCCATGGGCTGAATTCCTCTGCTTCAAGAAGGAAAATGTTCTCCTTCAGTGTCGATGCTTTCAGAAGGAGCTGCTGCTGATCCTGGCTGTTGCAGCTCCTCAGGCACTGATGTCTGCTTTAGCTCTGTGGCAGTTTGGAAGTGATACCCACAAGCCTTCTATTGGCCTCTCCCCTCAAGCTGGTCTATTTTGTCTCTTGATCTGAAACAAAAACATACAGGGCTTTTTTTTTTTTTTTTTTGTCTGATAGTTTTGCATCCCCTTAGGACTCAGAGCTGCACCTCAAACCTCTGACCCACATGAAATTTGATCACATGCCCTCGGATGACTGGTTTCATTCATGCTAGCTCACTGATGTTTTCCAGTCTGTGCACAGGAAATCTCACCCATTAGAAGGTGTAATTTCATGGTAGCTCATCAGGGAACTAAACATCTTTTACAGGGCTTGGTGAATTTGGCAGACAGGAGGGTTTCTGTGCTCTGCCTGGTGTGTCCCTCTGTTCCTGTAGTGATTCCTACATCATGTTTTTCTGGTGCTACAGATTCTCACTCATCAGAAGCACCTCCAGAGGGTGAGGAGATCTTCTGCTGAACATGGACTATTCCAGTGGTCACTCGTGGCATTGGCACCATGGACATCTCCCTGCCTGTGACACAGCACGCGGCTGGTGCCTGCGCTGGACAAGCATCTGGAGGTTTTAAATAAAAAAACTTCTGAAGTCTGCTAAGTGGTGGATAAGGGCCTCTCTCCTGTGGTTTTAGGTGAATTCTCCCTGCAGAGGCTGTGCCTGCATGGCGCACAGCACCATCTCCCTGTGCAAACCTGGGGTCAAACGAATTGGGGTAGATGTTGTCTGTCTCTTCTTACTGCTAAAGGATGAGAGAACATAGCCTTAAGGGGTCTGTGCCTTCAAATTCCCCTTTTCTGGGGAAAAGAACCAAAACCAAGCATTTAGCAAAAGATTAGGACTCTACAAATGGTGCGTACACACTGGCATATATAGATATACTGTATATGTACATATATGTATCTATGTATCCACTGGGATATGCTTGCAGTCCCTACAGCCAAGGTCCACCCCTGGGGATAGATGATACCTGAGGACTTTCAGGGAGTGTGTAGATATTAAATATCTTGCCCTTACTGCTCCAGCTGTAACACAGTGACCTGCACACCCCTTTTGTGCTCATGGGATAGGGGATGTTTGGTTTCAGAAGGGTACATTACACCAGGAAGCAGTAGCAGCATTCAGAAGCAACAACTCAGAGGATAAAAATTAAAATTTAAAATCATTATGAACAATTTCTGTGTGAGGCAGAGAAATCAAATTTCAAACTTTTTCTAGAGTCAAGCAGAATATTATTGGATGTATTTAAAATGGTGCAAATAGGAGAATTTTGGTAGGTTGGTAAGGCAATCCCAGGGAGCCAGACCAGATGTCCAAATGGAAACTGCAGTAAGCACATTTGTTTTTTTACACAATCTCTTTGAGCTCCAGCTCAGTGCCTCCCATGCCCAAAACAAAGATTATGTTTTTGCCAGAATAGAGCTCTCCAGTTGCATTTTACATCCCCATAGAAGCCTAATGACTGAGTGGGGGACTGGCTACAAATCTGCTTTTAGGGATCTTTGTTCTGTTCTTTGTGTTTTTCTTAGCTTGCTTTTTGTACTGCCGCTGGGTTTCTGTTTCTCTGGATTTTCTCACTTGCCCTGCTCGTTGCTGAGGCAGAGGGAGAGCAGCAGTGTCCAAGCAGGTCAGTGAGATGCAGCAGGGCAGGCTCCAAGGAGAGGGCTGCTGTCCCTGTGGCTGTGCAACACCGACCACCCAGGAACCATTTCTGGGGAGAAAAAGGCTCTGATGGACAAACCCCCGTGGGACAGGTCCTGAGGCCAGCGTGGCGTGTCCCCGTGGCCTCTGGGCTGGAGTGTCTGTGCAGAACAGGAGAATTCAAGGGCAGCTCTTGCTGTGCCAGCTGTGGGGTGTCTGTAAAGTTCTGGAATACAGGCGTGTGTTCAGTGGGGGAGGAGAAATGCAACAAGAAATACTTTTCTCAAAAATCACCTTTCTTCCAAACCCTGTCAGGAGAATTACCCAAGTGGATTTGTAAATGGTTACCAGCTTCAAAACAGGTCAAGGTTTTGCTCAAGAGTTTGAAGCTGTCAGGTGCATTTCCTTTCCTACCATTCTTTTTCTTTGAAATAACAGATAATCTGTCTTTTTGTACTATTGTTTGATTTCAGTTTGCTCTCAGGCTTGTCATGAGCTGGTGACCCGCAGCAATTTTCAGAGTTAGTGCTGATGAGTATCAGCAGCATTGATGGTGAGGTGGATGCTTGGGTTGGGCTGTCTTGGTGCAGGAACCCTGCTTGCTTTGGAAGCTCTCTACACTATTAAAACTCAAAAGAGGAAAAAAAAAAAAAAAAGAAAAAGGGGTGAAAATTAATTTTAATTTGGTTTTTTAAAAAAATACTATTTGGTGCTTGTTCTTAATTGCAAGCAGGGCTTGCAAAAATATTTATCTTTCATTTATCTGAAAGAGTTTTTTTTAAAGTTTACTTTGTTTTATTTTTTTATTTCTTTTTATTTTTGCTTTTGTTTGGGGAATAGTTTGAGGGTTTTTTCTCTTTCCCCTCTTTATTTCTTTTTGTTTGTTTATTTGTTTTGTTTTCTTACCAAAAGATTGGTAAACCAAATGTTCTCATCTTCCTGTTTCTGACAAACCATGGGGTTGGGCAGTGCTGCTTTGCAGCTCATTCCATGCCCAAAGTCACACAATTTCAGCTGAGAGCTTTCTTCAAGGCAGAGCATCTTCAGGCCAAAAAAAATCTGTAAAAAGACACAGTAACTTTAGACAGGGCTCCTTCTGTCAATTAGTTTCCACGTTTAAACATTTTGGTTAGGTTTTCTCATGCCCTTTGGAGGCAAAGGAAAAAGCAAAGCACGGGAGTGCCTTGCAGTGATGTGAGGTTCTAGTTGCTCTCCAGTACTTGAAGGGAGCTGAAGGAGGCATGTGCTGCTGGTGTGGTGTTACCTTTTTCATAAGAAAACCACCAACTTCAGAAAGTAACTTCTGCTCTGCTGCTTATACATCTGCAAACAAGAATGGGCCAAGCTGAAATTTCTGGAAACCAAAGCAGTGTGTGGCTCATGTACTGTTGTGTGAGCAGAGACCAGGGCACTGGTACATCTGAGCTCCCCTCAGTCTGGAACAGCCTTTGCCACTATGAACTTTTCAGTTTATCCCACTGTCTTTTCCCCAATCCCAGCACATGCTATATTCACAACACAGCAATGTCCCGTGGCTCTGAGAAGGGCACCAAAAGGCAGATGAGTGACCCAGGGCAGCAGGATTGAGTCTGCCTGGCTTCACCATCTCTCCTGACCTGTGCAGATCAAAAAGAGCAGGCAGTGCCTGAAGTGCAAATACTGTTGGCTAAGTGATCTCCCAGGGAGATCACTTTCCTTGACAGAAACCACAGGTGTGAGTCAGAAATACAGTGACCAGAAATCCTGTGTACCAAAGCTCTTTGTGTCTTAAATTCTGGTGGACAGACCTTTGTCCCTGGAGGATGTCTGTTACTGTATGATTCAGTATTTTGGAATGAAGCCTCTCCTCCCACACTGCTTCCTCCTTCTTTCACCTTTAGGAAGGTAAGGGCTTGTTTTTATCTCTTTAGCCTTTTATTTTTCCCATCTCAGGTTTTCTTTGGAAAGGCTTGGCATATGTTCCCAGAGTCAGATTCTTGCTCTGATCCCTGAAGGTTGTCTAGTGTTGTCTGCTAGAGTATTGTCCCAGCTTGACAGCACCAAAACCTTTCCTCTTCCTGGCCTTAAAATTGCATTTACTCCAGTTCCATGCCTGGCATCCATCCTGCAGTTGTTGAAAGCATGTTATGTCTTCAGCCTGAGCTGCTGCTAGTTCCCAGAGCCAGTCACTCCATCCCATTTGGAGCACCCAAACCACCCTGTTTTGCATGGGGTTCCTGGGACTCAGAGGAGGTTCAAAAACATCTCTTTGAAGCCCATGTTGTTGGAGGAGAAGAGGATCCTGCGAGGGCTCTTGGAGCTGTTCGTGCTGATGTTTCTTGGAGGGCAGAAATCAGATTTGATTTTCTTGGGATTTTCTTGGCCTGGTCTTTGCCACTGCCCAACAGGAGGGGTTTCAGTGTCCAGGGAAAGTGAGAGTGTGGGCTCAGACAAGTACAGAAGTGGCCAGTATTAGCTGGGGGTGCCAGAATACCCAGCAGCAGAGAGTAGCTGTAGCAAAGGGTGGGAGACTCGATGGGGCTGTGTGGGCTTGGCCTTAGATTATTTTAAATGAAGTGGTCATCTCAACACATAACTTGATGTCAGTTTGATGCCATAAAGCACTTTAAATGGAACTGCTCTTGTCCCTTTCAATTATAGTTATTTGGAGACAATCAGTTTTGCCATTGCTTCCCCCTCTGTATCCCCAACAAAATCAGAGCTTCAAGTAGGGTGTGTTCCTGGTTTGGTTTGGCTTTTCCCCGAGAGGGGAGGAAGGGCCAAGCTGTCTGTATTATTTTTAGACCAAAGTGGGTGTGAATCTGACTACAGTCCCACTGCAGATTGGTTAAGTGGCAGGACAAGAGAACTGGCTTCTGTTGGCTCAGGTACATCCCCCAGGAGAGTCCGTGTCAGCTTCACCATCACCTTCCTCACAGCACGTAGGGAAGCAACCCCACCAGCAGTTTTCCCTCCATCTCCTTGGAGAAACTCAGAGCGAAGGAGATGTGAGGGGATGCATCCAGATAAGTGAGACCCTTTCCATGCACCAGAATATTTACTGCCCAGGCCACTGGGACACGTCCCAGCGCTGTCATCCCCACTGAGGGTGGACTCTTCCCTCTGGAGGTGTGGCAGCACAGTAAATGTCATCAGCTTGTGTGGATTTGCATCCAGAGAGTCCAATTGCCTTTGCACCTTCCTTGAGTCACTAGGATATCTCACAGCTATTGCTGAAACACCCAGTTCCAGTCCTTCCACATGCCACCTAGTCAGAAGAAGTTCTTCAGGTGCCAAATCCCAAGGAAGCTGTCTAGGATGTCTATGGCATGGAGCAAGGGAGGACTGGGCAGGGGACACAGGAGAGTATCTGCTAAAATCCCACAAAACATTCCTCGTTAACCAGAACTCTGGAAATTATTGTGCCTGCTGGCCAGGTTTGGGAATTGATCATGATTTAGGGCACCCTTTTAAATAAAAAACCTCCCCTGCTGCTCATAACTCTTGCTTCATTTGTCAGAAGGGGCAGCAATCCACAATTCTTCATTGGTGATACAGCTAATTTTTAAATATAGGCGAGCTGAACTGGCCAAATCTCCTACACCTGGGCTCTTCAGTCTTGAGAGGTGTAACACCAGCTCCTGCTTTTCCAGGGCTCTGTGCCCTTTCCTTCCACATGCATTTCACTGACACTGATGCTTTGCCCAAATATAGTTCAGCTTCCATTGCTTGGGGGGGAGGGGGGAACAGGATAACACTCACTGCTTTGCATACAGCTATGAGCTTTGTATGTATTTAAGCTGCCTATAGGTATCCATCCTTTCCATGCTCTAAAGTAATGCTACTATTTTCTTTATCAATATTAAACACTGACTCAAAAGAAAAAAATGAAATAAAAATCTATGTCCAGTTCAGTTCACCTATGGTTAAAGTTTAGCTTGGTGTTTATTTTGTACTAATATGGAATGCACTTGAGTAATT